GAGTTCATACGCATCGGTGTCCGTTTGTCGTTCATCGTTCCGTCAAACCAATAGTAAAATGAAATACGATCTGTCATTTTTTAAATAAACCAATAAAACTGGTTAAAAACAACAAGACACGACGCTTGACGGATTTATATTTAAACCCATCCATAGATAACTTAAAAATTATTAGAAACTTTTTTTAGTAAAATAAATAGATTGGTATGGGACGTCATCTGCTTTTCTTCTGTCATCGTCTGTCGAAATCTTACCTGAGAAAAAAAACAGAGTTATAGATATAAGGCAATTTTAACAGTTGCTATGGAAAAAATTATTGAACGACGCATCATCACTGGATATCACTGGTGTGAATCTTATAGAAGTAAAGAGGAACTCTGAAGTATTTATCAATACACACAACCAGCACATTTTATTTATTACTTAATTTAAAAGAACAATTAAATCAAAGGCCTTAAACTGATTTTAAAATGTGTACAGAAAAAAAATTCCTTTCACTCACAGGAAATCTAAGAAAATAAAACAGTTCTGTATAAAGGTTTGATACGGTTCGATCGCGAGACACTTGATTGGCATTTTTGACGGTTGATTTCTATCAAAATACAGCGAGAATCTTTATTTCTTTCGGAAAATTTAGATCGAAATAACAGATAGACAAGAAAGAATTTGAATTTTCAATCTAGGCTAATTCGTCAATAAAAATTTCTTATCCGCTCAGATAAACATAAAATGTTTAAAATAATTATAACAAACTAGCGTGTACCCGCGACTTCGCGTCGAATTAATCATTTGTAATGGTGATGATAAAGCAAAGCAAGAATTTCCATTAACATACAAACTGGATAAAATTTTCTCACATTTATGTCAGCATGAGAAAAAACAATATGGCGATATTACTATATAACTTGGCAATATTTGAGAGGTAAGTAGTTTCATCTCGTTGGAATTTGACTTTCGAAAAATCCGTTTGCCAAAAATATCTAAGCTTTTTACGTCAAGCAGTTTAAGCAGAATCGTGGTTAATGAATTACTCAACTTTATGAAACACCCTGTATGATTTTTTAAAAAATTTCAAAATATGTAAAGAAACAAAATAAATTATGCGTGTCCAAGCGTTTTCCCGAAAGATTAACCGTTTTTTAAATAACAAAAAATATTGTAATATTTGAGGGGCGTTTTCACCCTCTTGGAATTAGAGATTCGAGAAACCCCTCCTTATCGAACCTTTATACCGTACAGTCAATCCGTTTGCCAAAAATCAGCTTTAAACGTCAAGCAGTTTATGCAGAATCGTGATGAATGGTCGTATTTTATGAAACACCCTGTATAATTTTTTAAAAAATCTTAAAATATGTAAAACAACAAAATAAAATATACGTGTTTAAGAGTTTGTCCGAAAAACTCACCGGTTTTTAAATAAAAAATATTTTAATATTTGAGTGATAGTTTCACCCCCTTAGAATTCGAGTTTCGAAAAATCCCTTCTTATCGAACCTCTACACCCTAAAGTCAATCCGTTTTCCAAAAATCAGCTTTTTACTTCAGGCGCTTTAAGCAGGATCGTGATTAATCAATGACCAGATTTTTCGAAACACCCTTAATACATTTTTAAAAAATCTTAAAATATGTAAAAAAACAAAATAATATATATGTGTTTAAGCGTTTTTTCGGAAACTTGACCGTTTTTTAAATAAAAAATATTGTAATATTTGGTGGGTGGTTTCACCCTCTTGGAATTGGAATTTCGAAAAATCCCTTCTTATCGAACCACTACACCCTAGAATCAACCTGTATGCCAAAATTGCGCTTCTTAAGCTGAGTGGTTTGAGCGGGATCGTGATTAATCAGTGGGTTTTATATATTAGTATAGATTAGTATAGATTTCTATAATTATTATTATGTGATTTATCAATAAGGTCTAAATATGTTTTGAACTTCTGTTAGCCAAAAAAGAATGAGTGTAAATAAAACCATTAACATTTTACATAAAATATTCAAACACGTAACATACGAACACCATTTGTTTGTTATTACTTATCCAAAATGACGAAAAAAACTGTAAAATGTCACCTTTCAAACGGTACCACTTGTTGAAGAATTTTTAGAATTGCTAAAAATATGTATTGACCTCTCTGTAGTTCTTTTATATAACGGTAAGAGGTCTTAATATATTCGAGTAAAGCCGGTGACAACAAAAACGCAAAAAAAAACTGTTACAATGCCCTGCGAACCGCACGAAGAACTGCTTAAAAATAATCTGGGTTATCTGATGAGTTGGTGTAATTTTAATTAGCACAACTAAAATAAATCCAAAAGGTGTGTAGATGGTCACTTTGGCAAAGAATTGTGGCTTTAAATCTTCACAATTTTGATATTTTAGAAATAAAATTCATTATTTTTTTTTCAAACTCAGTAAGCATTAGAACTTGAACCTCAACTTTCATGTTACAGATTTTTTTTTCTATACAGCACACGATCACAGCTTATTTAGCACCAGCTGGTCATCTTTCCTTAGTCTAAATCATTTTTGTTAACTAAATTTGAAGGAAGCTCAGAACCCAACTTGTTACACAACATAAGATAAGCGAATATCTAGCTATGTAGTGCATAGCATAATTATCGTATGAAGTCTGTAGGCTGGTTGTGAATAGACTCTGATATTATCACAATACAAGGTACATTCTGTGATATTATGTAATTTAAATACTAAAACATTAATTTTAGAAAAATATCTAATAGTCTCTAATCATCTTATATTCTGTGTTCCTCATTCCTGGAACACAGAATATAAGATGGATTGGAACAATACAAAGGTATTGATAGTATATTGAACTTATCTAAAAAATGTCTACTCTGTTTAGTGAAAGAAAGAATGACAGTACTTGTCTGTCATTTTAATCCAACAGTAAATTATTTTTCTGCCATTTCTTCAAAGGTTATTTAGATTTCATAAAAAGACATAGACCTAAGAAAGAAATGATATAGATACAAAGGTACCTACATTAATATAATTAAATTGTAACTGTAAACTTACAATATATGTATATGTGGGTTCTTATTATGAGAATATTTTTATAGTCTGTCTAAATGCAACACACAGGTATCATTTTAAAGTTACTTCCTTAATAAAGATATAGAAAAATAACTGTGAGAAATAAATTTTATTCAATTATTAATTAAGAAAAAATAATTGTTTTAAATATAATGATTTGAGGAAAGAATGTTATATAAATGCATTATTAAAAAGATTGTCAAAAAGTATAAGGAATCGTGTAAATTAAATCATTAAAAAATGGTTATGGATATATTTATGTATGTTAGTGTTTTACTTGTTATTATTGCTGTACTGTGATGTTAAAATTTTAACAAACTGCCTAACGAATTTTTTATTTTATTTTTTTTTATTTTTGCCACAATTTTTCGAAAAATGTTGATTTATCGCCAAAAAAATCATAACCTTGTGGATTAGGTTAGGTTGTGTCACTTTGATTCTCTTGACAATATTTAAATTTTTTCGATAAAATATGACAAAAAATATAAAAAAAATGAAAACAAAATTAATTTTTGATTTTAAATAAGGTGGCTTCTGCTACTGCCGCAAAATTATATGACCGCCGGAATATTACAGCCATCCGGTAGCCTTAAAGATCGTCGGATATCTAGTTTCCCTGCGTCACTTTACGTCACTTTATTGTAAGGATATCTAGTTTCTCTGCGTCGTTCTTACGTCACTTTAAACACCCAAAAAGTCGGACAATCAAGCATTTTGTGACAATATAGTTCCATATGTTTCTATAAAGTTCCGCCTACCTCTCATCTCAAAACAATTTAAAAACACTAATTTTTTATCTAGGAGCCTTGGAAAAATATAATATTTGATCATTTAATGTTTTTCGTGTCTTGCCCTAACTGGTTAAAAGATGCCTAAATTGTATTTTTAATCATATCTCAATTTTTTCAAATGGAACGAGGATGACTTATTAGCATATTTGAAAAAAGCATTTTTACGAATAATTTGGTACTACACTTGGTATTTCGAGTTAAATTGCCGTTATGAACCGATGTTACAATTTCAAATAAACCATATGAGAAAATGTCATATTATGATATGTCATTCTATTCAGAGTGTCATTTTCTATTGAATTAAGCAAAAAATATTGAGGGTGTCATTTAAAAATCAAAAGTTGTCTTTTCCGGTGAAACATGAAGTAACCAAAATCAATTGAATAAAAAAATGATGAATGAGAAAATCGAATTTTTACTTTCACCCTAATCTGATTTACTTCAATTCCAGTCTCCAAAATCTCATCTAATTCTGTTACAAAATCATATAAAAATTCTTGTAATGGGTTGATCGCAAGGATATTCATGCATTTTTAGGAGTATCGGCCAAAATTCTAATGGAGAACTCTTAAATGGAAGCAAGCCGTCAACATTAAAAATTAGAGACACCGATTCTAGGTTGGTCTCTTCCTATAAACGTGCTACTAAAATCTTCCTTATTCCATTGTACCAAAATTCTCCATTTCCAATTGGAACAATGGCACAATATCTCGGTGTACTCAATAAAAGTCCTGCTGTTTCCTGGCAATGATGTTAAGCCTTCATTTTTTAGTATACCAAGTAAATCTGTTAAAGCAATGTGGCTAATTTGGTGTTTTAATGGCCAACGCCTTAGTTCCTGTCTTATGTTACTTTTTTCTCTGAGCTCTGTTTTATCTTTAAATTCATCAGTAGTCACCAACTCGACATTCCTAGAAAATGCAGCTATAAGAACTTTACAAATATATAGAAAATACGACAATTATACATAATAATAATATGTATATGAATTTCAAAAAAAAAATTAAAATAATTTATTGTCATATCAAAGCCCAGTCATACTTCTCTAAATTTAATCCAATAAACCCTTTATCCTGGTGAACTTGTCTAGGAAGTTCCACTAGCAGCGCAGTGAACAAACAATTTTATTGATCTTTGTTCTTGTGGTAACGGACAGGATGGGTAAATACGCGATCTGCTACTATAAAGAAATATTTTTTAGTATCCACAACTTTATAGTAGCAAGACGTCAATAGAAGTATAGTACCCGTTACTTTATAGTAACAAACCATAGTCGCAGCTACTATTTTGGGACCAACAATTAGTACCCAAATACCTCGTAACTTTAAGACCCAAAATATAGGGTACTGCGACTATTCTGCGACTAATCATGGGACTATATAGTAACAAGTACTTCATTCACCCATTTTAGTAGCACAGGCTGGTAGCCGTTTCGTATTTATTGTCACTATGTAGATTTTGCCACTTAGTGGTAACAATGAAAGGATTTGCGTAGTTCCAGTTACTAGACGCAACAACCCATGATTGGAACTATCTGTGTTGCTTGGGATATGAAGTCTTTATGGAGACATCTTTATAGCAAAGAAACTAATCTATATATTAGGCTTGAGTTTACTATATCGCGTGGTTATACGGATCCTGAAGTTGCGGAAGCATCTGTGTAGACTGCTATCTCTTTTCTGCAGAATAACAATAACTGAAAAAAGTCTCAGAAAATGTGATGTCCGATAATTTTCCGTAATAAAAGTAAGCATGCTCTAGATTCTTTAAACCTGCATCTCGATGACGATTACGTCACATATCGCCAATGTAACTAGACCTCGCATTTTTCCCTATAATCCTCTTTTTAGTGTGGATACTTAACAAATTTCTTGAGAATCTGTCTGTTCGCCACAAACAATCTCGTTTACCGCTCGATACGCACCAGTTTGCATCTAAGCCGACTTAATAGATGCGAACATAACTTCTTCTCGGTAACTTTAAAAAGCGGAACACATGCATTAGACGCCGCGCCGTCCAATTTGTCCGAACAGTTGTATAAAAGCTGCCGTTCGATGGCAGAATGGATGTTATTCAAACTATCCTGTCAACCATAAAGGCTGCTAAATGGTCTGCAACAATTTTCCTGACAGCGACAATGTTCCATCGGGCTGAATATAACGCGAGAAATGGTTTGGTTTTATTGTAATTACTAACGATAGTTAAATAACGATTGTAGTAAATGTAAAGTTAACTTTTATGATCCATTTGACTCACTTTCGTCGATTCAGAGAATGGTTTAGAAGTTTAGATAAAACGGATTTATTCAGGGTGGTTCAAAAAACCTGTGCCATCTCTCGTGGGGAGATTCCTCATGTAAAAATAAGATTTATTTTTCATATCAACATAGGTCCGATTCTGATTTGTTTCATAGCTGCAGGGTGTTAAAATCTTAATATTCTTTTTAATTTATTAGAATTTTCTTCCAATTTTGAGGTTAAAAGTTACTACAAATGCGACATATTTTAATGCTAAGAAAGTGTCGACATATTCACCAGGGACGTGCATATGGGTTATCACTACAATATTTTTCTAAAAAAGACATGTACAGCTGGTCCAAAAAAAAATGAATACGACTCTTTACACATTTTTTCGAATATTTGGGCAGTGTATATTTATTTGTCAAGTATTTTGACATGTTAAAGGTTATTGTGACATTGTATAAAGCAACTTTGCTTTTGACAAAGTGAAATTAGAGAAATGGGGGACTGGTGTCATAGAATATACTGCCCGAAATAATAAAAATGTTTTAAATCGTATTCAATTTTATTGGAACCAGCTGTACACCACTTGTTAGCGAAATAGTGTAAGCAGTATAAAGCCGATTAAAAGTCATCTCTTAATATTTTGTCGATTTCGGCCTCCTTGATGAGATAAACGTAATTTTATTAATTTGCCTTGATCCAAGTCTAATAGCAACGTTTAAAAACTTTTAATATCATTAACTTGCGAAAGTTTTAAATAAGAACTCATTGATTCCTCATCAAAGAATATTAAAAAAAAATTCTATAGACATGGGTATGAAAATGCATAGTTTTAGAGTTACAGGGTGTTTCCACAAAAAAATTTAAAATTAAGTTTTTTGTAATTATCTTAAATAACATATTACTTTTTATTTGAAATTGCTGTAGGTTGGGCTAATACTAATAATAACTAATGGTAATAATATTTAATAACAAATTAGGTAAAATATATAATTTATTAAATTGCCTTTATCTCATCAAGGAGGCTGAATTCGACAAAATATCAAGAGATAACTTTTAATTGGCATTAAACAGCCTATACAATTTTGATATCGAAAGAAAAAAGTCAGTGGCGCACATGTTTCTTTTTTGTCCCTAATAAATTTATCGATACTTTTTTAGCATTAAAATATGTAGCACTTATAGTAAATTTTACCTTAAAAATTTCATTCGCATCACTAAAAGTACTTAGAAGAAAATTATAGTAAATCGAAAGATTATTAATACTTTAACACCCTGTAGCTACGAAACAAAGTAGAATCGGACCTATGTTGATATGAAAAATAATACTTATTTTTACGTGAGGAATCTCCCCAGAAGAGATGGCACATGTTTTTTGAAACACCCTGTATATGATGATACTTTAGCTGTCTTCCGTTTTTACCTTGTCTGAATTGTTTAATATTACGGAAAACGTTTCTTGAAAAATATTTGCAGGATGCAAGGAAAAAGAGATCAGGGTCCATCTAAAAGAGATTAGTCCGAAAGTTATCCGTTCTGGAAATATTTCCAAAAAGATGGTGGCGACGTTTGTCTTAAAACCGAGTCATTTAACAACAATAATTCCTCTGCAAGATCAAAGAACTGTTACTGCCGATTGGTACATATCTATTTATTTACCGAAAGTAATTGATGATGAGTTTTGAAAAACCAACCCTCAACAACGAATGATCCTTTATCAAGACAAGTTCCCAGAAGGAAACATCGAATTGTTGTACCATCCCCTATACAGTACCGTCTTAACGACTTTTTTACTTTTCCAAAAATTAAGAATGAACTGCCGCGTGGTTGAAGGTTTAAATCCCCTGAAGATGCAGTCAGTGCCGTTAAAAACACAATTTTAAGGGTATATACCAACGAGCGAGTGGAAACTGCTTTCAGAATTGTTTCGCGTCGTTCATATTGTCAAGGTCAAGGTGTATTACTGGTTGCATAACTGCATTACTGCTACATAACCGCAACGTGCATTGAGGAACCTGGCGAATTCGCCAAAAAGTAAAAGAAAATTACAGAATTCTTTAGAAAATTCCAGAAACCATCGCCAGGGGGTATATTAGGCCCGCGCTTTGACAGTTGGACCAGTCTGAATATAGTCTGAAGTCTGAAGTTTGATAATACCGCGAAATACCGTTAGAGTAATAGTAGTTGCATAAATTGTGTTGTAAATAGTATAAGTTGTGTGTACAGAGTGAGACAAATAAATTCGTTACGTATTTTATCGTGAGTTTAAATAGTGGACCCACGGAATCCGTAACAATATTGTCGCGTCCTTTATAAAATCAGGCGATTTTAAAGCACAGTGCATTCACCAACTAATAGAATAATATCATTTATCTCAGATGTAGGATAAGTTTCCATTTTCGGAAAATTTCCCAGATTTTTTTTAACTGACACAAAATGATAAGTACTTGCTAAAGTTGAACTAATTAGACACCTATATGTTGAAGAAACGCCAGACATGCTCTCAGTCACCTATATTTTATCAAATAATAAATATCTATACTCACACTAAATCATAAAAATGAAAATATCTAGGAAAATCTTTGTTTGGGGGGTAGGCAACCTTAAAAGTATTTTGAAGAGACATGAATTCCCCATTGAATATCGGAATAATATATTGAGTGTTCCATTTAAACTAAAAGAGTAACTTTTGTTTTAAAGGTGACCAATGTCAACATTAATTTTGCCTCACCCTGTATAACTTTTTGGGTCAGGTTTTAATTTGATTTAAAGTACAATAGTTATTTTAACTACATATTAGGCTATACCGGGTAAATTCCAATTTAGGTAGCTTTTATTGAAATTTAAAAATTGTTCTTCATTTTCACAAAATGTGAAATATATCTCAAAATCCTTACATTTCAGTCATATACTTCCCTAATAAAACTCACCTTTATTTTTCTCCTAGAATCCAAAAATTAATTAATATATAGGGTGTTCCATTACAACAAATACAACTTTAATGTCCCATACAGCACATTAAATCACATTTACGATGTGTTTACATTATTAGATGTAGACACAGGGTGACACAATTCCCCCGATGTAAATATGCTACGTTTACACATTGTAGTTCAACACGTATGCACAAAGGTTAAACGTCCGCCTCACAATGTAGCCACAGTATAGCATTTACGTATACACAAAGTAAGGGATACACAGTGTGCCGTAGGATACACAGTGCACGTTTAAACTCTGTTTACACATTGCAGTTGTGACTACCGCGTGTATACTATGTATTTTGCTTCGTATATACATCTTGTGTTAGATAAAACTACTTCTTATGAACGAATTTAGGAAATAATACAAGTTTTGATGCCTAACTTTTCCTTCTTTTTAAGAAATATTTATTCGATGATACCAATTATATCTTTTTAGAACGAAAATTAGGAAGGCAAAACTTTGTATTTTCCAAAAGTATCTCGATCGTAAGTTCAAGAGAAGTAGCCTTAAAATTGTTCCATTTTTGTTTTGCATTAAATGTACGATTTTCTTCCATAAAATGGACTAAGTGGTTAAAAAATAAAATTCTTATATTTCTTTATATCATGGAACGCAATAGCGCAAATAACACAATAATAATAATTATTTACACTGCAGGAACCAGAAGTAAGAAAACACTGTAAAAGAACAGAATTTGTATCAAAATGTATTAAAAATATAAGTACCTAGTATAACAACATACTAAAATGGTAAACATTGTGTAACTCTTTTTGGGGATATCCTGAAAACTCTCGTTCTCCTTGAAACCTCCGCGTCGTATGAGAGGCCTCTCAAAAGTTACAAGTTGAAAAATGTTCTGTAGTATTAAGTACCTAGACAGTTTTTCATTGCAGAAGAGGTCAGATCAAGTGCGTTAACCAGGAAAAGCAAAAATATCCAACGTTTGCAATCCCATAACACTCGATGTTCGTGTACATCCCACGAATTTCACTTGACTTTTACTTAAAGCGACAAAACTAGATGCAAGGCGCTGAGGCTGAGGTTGTGTCTAATTCTAAGACCACTCGAAATAGGAGATAATACGTAACCTCTCTTAAGAGAGAGAGGATAAATGCATTTGTCAATAATACAACGGTATTAATTATTATTCAACGGGCTTAATGAGAGTGGCGTATATTTCAGTGGCTTCTTGGATTATCATTCGACGTGACTATACAGATTAGCCGTTAGCTCAAGGGGGCAATTGTTATTGAACAATTTGCATCCTTGAGTGTTATATTAGATAACTAATCCTCAAACTTTTAAACTCATCAAATCATCAGTCATGGGCGTAGCATAATTTTTTGTAATTTATATCAATATTCAATTGAACAGAAGTTTTAACACTAAAGCGAGGTTTCCACATGCAAGGATTACTGGCGCCAGTGTTCGCCAGTTTATTGGCGCCACAATTAAATGGGGCCATTACCCGTTTCCACAGGTCTATAGTAAATTTAAAACTGGCATGTCATTACGTTCAGTTTTATGAGACTTTAACACCTTGTTATGCTCTAGGGTGTAAGCATCCCTAATACTTCGAATTTTGGCCTTGGCGGAATTTACATCATAGTTGCTGAGAGAATTAGACATGACACCAACAATTCTTCTCAAGGCTTCATCCCTTTTATTTCGGTCCTTACAATCACTTATTTTATTGTTTCATAAGCAAGGATGTTGTTCGTAGGCTTCCAAGAGCTTTATTATTAATTCATTAGACCACTTTTTTGAAACAAACGACATTTTTACGACTGGAGATGCTCGCTGTATTTTTTACTCATAAAACTGGCGCCAAAAAGTACAGGAGCGTTTAACTTTACTGGCACATGAATTAGTGGCGCCACTAAACTTGCGCCAGTCGATTTTACAGGTTTCCACATACAATAAAACTGGCGCCAGTTGAATGGCGCCAGTAATCCTTGCATGTGGAAACTCCGCTTAATAAAAGATACAATAATTTGTATATCTATCAATATCGATATATATATATATATATATATATATATATATATATATATATATATATATATATATATATATATATATATATATATATATATATATATATATATACATATATATATATATATTTATATGAAATATTTAGTGAAACTGAGCACACTGTTTATTGAGTTTAATAAGAATAATAAATATGTAGTTATCCTGGAAATGACGCAGAAAGAGTAAGACCGTGTCTATCAAGCTTATTTTTTTTAATTTTCAAAATTAAATAACTCGGGAATTTTTTAATCTATACCGGGCGCGTCTCGAAAGTGGCCCAACCCCTATAACTTTTTTATTTTATCAGATAAAAAAACGAGATTTCATATGTTAGTATATGGCATGAATTAGGATTGACTGACGTATTCAATTGATTTTGATCACTTCCTGTTTCACCGGAAATGACTACAACTGACACCCTCGGTATTTTTTTACTTTGTTTGATAGAAAATGACACTCATCTGAATAGAATGCTATATCATATACCAACTTTTGACATTTATGCTTTAAAAAAATTCGTATTTTATATTTCAATCTAGAGTGACAGGGATGTGTTAAAAATGCAAATTTTTAATCAGGAAGCCTTGGAAAAATAGATTTGATCGTCTAATGTTTTTCGTGTCTTGTCCTGGCCGGTTAAAAAATACCCAAATCGTATTTTTAATCATATCTAATTTTTTTCAAATGGAACGAGGGTGGCTCGTTAGCATATTTAGAAAAAGCATTTTTTACAATATTTTGGTACCACACACTTGGTATTTCGAGTCAAATTATCGTTATGATACAATTTCAAATAAACTATATGAGAAAATGTCAATAGTTGACACATGGTATGTCATTCTATTCAGAATGTCATTTTCTATCGAATAAAGTAAAAAAATACAGAGAGTACCATTTAAAAATCAAAAAGTTGTAGTTATTTCGAGTAAAAGAGGAAGTGACCAAAACAATTGAATACCTCAATCAATCTAATTTATGTTATATATACCATACCAAATCGTGTTTTATGTGAAAAAATAAAAAGTTATAAGGAAATGACACTTTTGAGACACACCATATTCGAAACTGTAAATAGAAAATATTTCTGTTTTCGCTAGATATACCACCGCTATTGTTGCACTATGTGACACTTTGTATAATATATTATTTAGGGTGAGTCTTAAATAAGTGCTAATATTTTTACAGGTAGTATATTTCGACCCCACAAAAACAGTTACGAGGTTTTTCAAAAAGAAAAATTGAGAATTTGGAATTTTTGAAAAATGTTCGTTTTTTTAGTTTTTAGTTAAAAAACATAATTTCTTGATAAAATGGTAAAATAGGTAGTCGATTAAATTTACAAGACACAAAACCCAGAAAAGATCCAGTGGTTCTCAAAATTTAAACGAAAAAAAATTTTTAAATTTTCAAATAAAATCTCGGTTATTTTGGACGTATTTAAAAAACAATAAAGAAAAAATATGTTTCTATTGTCGAGATCTACCAGCCCTGAAAATATTTGCACTTATTTAAGACTCACCCTGTATTATATTGTCTGGAGTTTTACTGTGCTCCAAATTTTTTTCAATAATAACAATCACAATAATTTATCTCTTGATTTAAATATCTAAGTGTATTTTTTTCTTATTATTTTCAGATGCTGCCCTTGATATTTCTCCTCACCCTGTATATCAACGGGTTCACCGCAGCTCCATCATACCAAAGACCCCACACGAACGACGAAGAAAACGAAAATTCATCTCGTCATGGGAAAAATATCGGGTTTTTCGATTACATCCAACCCGAGATAGATTTCGAAAGTTACGCCACTGACGACGATTACAATTCGGTGGTGGAAGAAAACGATCTGAGCCGCACTGTTCCAAGCAAAAAGCATAGGCGTCCCCAATATAATTCGCCCATTTATTACATCAGGCTTCCACCTCAACCTTACATGTTTGTCCCAGGTACAGTACAGTATAATTATTACTATAGTTTGTCAAATAAGAGGATCCATGACTTTGACCAGTGACAGTTGTGTCTGTCATTGTAATTCACAGTTTTTTATACTGTGAATTATAATGACAGACTGTCACTGGTCAATTTCAAGGATCCTAGATCATATCATTCACTCTCTACCCCTATGGATGGTACAATTGGATTGTTAAGTTTTTATAACTATTCGGTTCAACTGTAATGTGAAAATCTGTATTATATATATAATAGCTCTAAAAACCTAAAAGGATCATGGCTTGATTGGTTATCTTTCTCCATTTGTTTCTGTCTTTCGCCTTTATTCTCCACCCATCCACTCTTAGCCTTCTCAAGTCCTCTTCTACATCCTTTTTCATCTGATTCTCAGTCTACCCCTCCTTCTCTTTCCACCTATTTCACGTTTCATTATCATACTAGGAATTCTTGCTTCAGCCATTCTTTCAATGCGTCCCAGCCATCTCAGTTTTTGTGCTCTTACTACTCCCATTATACTTGGTGTGCGATATAGTTGCTTTAATTCTTCATTTGTTCTTCTGGTCCATATATTGTCTATCTTCTTTCCTCCAAAAATCTTCCTCAGTATTTTTCTTTCCCAAATCTCTAGCCTCGAACTTTCCGTTGCATTGAACGTCCACGTTTCATATGCATACAGCACTATTGGTCTTATCATTGTTTGGTACATACTGATTTAAACTTTTAGAAATGTTCTTACTCTTAATAATTTTCTGTAGTGCGCTGACACATCTATTTCCTGCCATTATTCTTGCCATAATTTTTTTAGTTATATTTGGATTCCTTAAAAATACGACTCCTAGATATGTGATCGTATCTACTTCCTCAAACTTGTCTCGTTTACCTCTCTCTCACAATGCAATTGTAGACATTTTCTCTTCTCAAAATCCCTATCTGACCACTCCATAAATTTTATTTTCTTCTCATTAAACATTCTCTCTCCTACTTTTTGATTTTGTATAGTCTTTTGGTCACCGATATTGGATCTTCCCGATATCTTGCTAAGATAACTAAACCATCGGCAAAGGCTAAGCATTGGTGTCTTTTTCTATACAGAAGGCCCCCTCTGTTGATTCCCGCATCTTTTACAACTTTTTCTAATATTACACTAAACAGTACTGGAGATAGTGGATCCCCTTGTCTTAGTCCATCCCTGATTATAAATTTTTCCGTTGTTTTCTTGTTTACTTTGACTTCATTTACTGTCTCTTGGAGTGCCAATTTTATCATCTTGGTAATTATTCTGTTAATGCTCTAAACACCTCCGTCCTGTTAACTTTGTCATATGCCTGATGCTGAAATAAGTCGATAAATATGAGCATTGTCTGTTTTCCGTATTCATAACTCTCCGCTTGTATTTCTCCAAGGGTAAATATTTGGTTAGGTTAGATTGGTACTCTCCAATTTTCTCATCAACCTCCTCCACTTTCCTCCATTAGTGAAGGAAAATCTGTATTAAAAAGAATAAAATAATAAATCTTTTTTTTTTCAGGTTTAGGTTACGTGTCGCAGCCTGCTCCGAACCCCATGTCCCAATTCGTCAATTTACCTGTCAATTTCGTGTCCAACGGCAAACCAAGCGGAATCTACCAATGGACGGGGGGAATTGAGATCCCCCCCGTACCATCTCCACACCGACCAGCACCTCCTAAGCCTAAACCAGTGAAGAAACCGCTCAAACCCATTAAACCGGACTCGACCATTCACAGGCTACCTGGACAGTTCTTTTTCAACGGCAAGCCGGACGATATATTTGTCCTGCGGGACTCGTATAATTCGTTGTATAGCGATATGCTGCAAAATTTATATCCTTAAAATCTAAATCTTAGGCGAAAGTAGAAAATATGCAAGTCATATTTTTTGTCATTGGAAATTTCTTTTTACTATACACTGTATACAAACGTTCTACTTGTACCATTGCATTAATTAAACTCCTGGTCTATAAGGATATTTGAATTAGGTATATTGAATTTTGGATTGAGCCAAGAACACTGTTTTTTTTGTTTATCCCTAATGCATCTGCTATGTCCCCTTATGGGAACCCCATCCCTTAATCGCGTAAATATAATCGATTTTTGCTCTGAAGTTAAAGACATGTTTTAAAAATTACGTGACGACACTGACACACGAATTCTGATGACACTGATGAGTTATCAGTTTGAAAGAAAATATTTTATTATAGACCAGCAGATTAAATCATATTTTGTTGTACTACTTTTTTTATCGCAATGGTACATTGTTAAAAATACAGTAAATGACACATATAGTCTGTCCAACGAGACGAGGGAAGTTTTCGACAGACAAAATCTAAAAATTGACAGAAAATGCAATTTACCTATGAACTAAAATGACAGAAACCACTGTCACTGTCATGTACCCTCCCATTGGACAGACTTTATCTACTTTTTTGTTTCGCATTTTGAAACCTAAAAAAATCTATGAATTAAATTTAGACAAATATTATTGTTTATAGATGATTCAAAATATATTTTTTTTAAATGGAATATTTATTATACAAGGCATAAACATTAAAATAAAGAAAATTTAATTTATTATTAAAAATCTATTTAGTATAGGCATCTAAAGCCCCGTTCTCAGAACGACGTCGTGTCGCTGGCGACACAGTTTGACGTTTCAAACAACCAATGGGAGATGTACTAAATTTAAAATTGACAGCTGTTTGAATTTTGTACAAATCTGATTGATTCTTTTGTCGTGTCGCTGGCGACAGTCGCAGTTCTGAGAACGGGGCTTAAGCCCCGTTCTCAGAACTGCGTTGTGTCGCCGGCGACACAGTTTGACATTTCAAACAACCAATGAGAGCTGTACTAAATTTAAAATTGACAGCTGTTTGAATTTTGTACAAATCTGATTGGTTCTTTTGATGTGTCGCTGGCGACAGTCGCTCTTCTGAGAACGGGGCTTAATACATAAAATAATATATTTTGCTCTCTTGACAAAAGAGATTATCCTATGGTATAAATATACAGGGTGAGTTTCCTATGATGTTCTCTATGGGTATCTCGGAAACTACTGGAGATAGAGAGTCATTTAAATGGGGAAAGAATTGCTGTTTTGTGGGGTCATAAATATGCGCCTTTCAGATTTTTGAAAAACTTCATGACTTACTAGATATTTCGAAAAAAACAAATTTTAGCTATTTTTAAAATTGTCCCTATTTCCTTTACAATCTATTTTAGACAAAAAGTGTTCAGATAAAAGTTGTAGATAATCACATTCCTAATGAGTTTGTGTTCTCCGATTTTTTATAAAACCTGTCATTTTTGACATATGACACAAACATATGTTTTTTTTAAATGGAAACCATAGTTGGCTATGACTTCATAAAAAGCGCCATTTTTTAAGCTTTTCAGCAATATAAGCTATAATATGTTTCTTTCACAAAATTACTGAGTTATAGCCAATTCTTATCTGTCTTGACTAATTTCATTTAGTTAGCCATGGAAACAAGTTCAATCGTCGTTGCTCTCAGAAATGTGAAATTGTGTCACATCCAATCTTTGTAAATTAAAATAAACAAAAATTGTAAATAAAAATTTTTCAAATGAAGAAAAGCGTGTAGGATTATTGGTTCAACTTTTCTTGGCCATACAGGATACGTTGACCGGTGAAAGTTACTTACGTTTTTTAGAGAACGGTTTTCAATGGTGTTCAAATTTTGTTGTGATTTATAACTTATAAAAAGACAAAATATGTTATTAAACGGCTCTTTACAATTTAGATTACACAAACTAAAACTCAAAAAAATAATATCACTACGTACACTTTAAGTTATTTTAGAAAATGTTTAAAAAATCCGCAATTATTTTGAGTACATAAATGCATCTTTTTAAAACTGAATTTCTAGCTATTGTCACAGAACGACCGGTCGACTTATTTAACCTTCTCCTGTTCCGCCTCTTCGAGTGCCTCTCTTAATTCATAAGTTTTTTTGTAAACCTTGTTGTTAACCATACCGCATAAAAAAATCTAAAATGGATAGGTCAGGTGACCGAGGGGACCCATGCAATTGGTCCACCTCCCTGAGTCTACATAATTATGATATAAATAATTTTTTAAATAACATTTCTTTCATTGTGGGGGTGTTGGTGCGTCATAATGAAAGTCATATTGGAACCACTGTATTAATGCGCGAGTATCTAAATTTAACTTTTCTAACATGTCTTGAAAACCGTTTTCTAAAAAACGTAACGTTCACGACGTAAACATATCCTCGAAACTGTATAGCCAAGAAAAGTTGAACGAATAATTCTACACGCTGTTCTTCATTTAAAAAACTCTTATTTACAATTTTAGTTTATGTTAATTTACAAAGATTGGATGTGACAATTTCACATTTCTAAGAGCAACGACTATTGAACTTCTTTCCATGGCTAACTAAGTGAAATTAGTCAAGAAAGATAAGAATTGGTTATAACTCAGTAATTTTGTGAAAGAAACATATTATAGCTTATATCGTTGAAAAGCTTAAAAAACGGCGCTTTTTATGAAGTCATGGCCAACTAGGTTTCCATTTAAAAAACATATGTTTGTGTCATATGTCAAAATGACAGGCTTTAGAAAAATCGGAGAACACAATCTCATTAGGGATGTGATTATCTACAACTTTTATCTGAAAACTTTTTGTCTAAAATAGATTATAATGGAATTAGGGACAATTTTTAAAATAGCCAAAATTTGTTTTTTTCGAAATATCTCGTAAGCCATGAACTTTTTCGGAAATCTGAAAAGTGCATATTTATGACCCCACAAAACTGCAAACATCGTAGGAAACTCACCTTATATAAAAAACTCTTGACTGATGGTTAGTTTTTAATTTATCATTATAGACCTTATTTATATTTTGTAACATACATTTATTAATTTAAATTTTATATAAACACATATAAAGTACTTCTATATCCTGTAAATATAGTTTGGATTATGTTTAAGATATTAAAATTGTATTAAGAAACTATAAAAGACTTTTTTCTTTATAACTATATCATTATATATCCCTTATAAATAGTTATTTACAAAATTATACTGGTATGATATTACTTTAATTAAAACTACCAATAAACTAGGACTATATATACATTAAAAAAAATAAAGAAGAACAATTTTTAACTGGGTCATCAAAAAAATAAAAAGAATTTTATTTTATTTTTAGACTATACTATTATAGGGATTAAATTCATGTTTCCATTAGTATATAATTATTATAGAACATTTTAGTACTGTTAGCTATTAAATAAACAGAAGTAGTTACTGGTTTAGTAACATACATATTTGAATATTTTACTGTGAGAATTTTATACGTATATAAGTCTAGGTCTAGACGTAAGTGGAATAGTAATAAGGTTCACTAAAATTCTAAAATGTTCGGAAAAATTCAGAACTACGGAATATTTATTTTATATTTCTTGAAGAAATGTATTTCGTGTTGTTTTATGGTAATAAAATAAGTAGAGTTTTGTTTATTTTTAGCTAAAATATAATTATAGATAGAAATAAAATATTAAATAAATTATTTATACCAAAAATAAAATACCTATTCTTATAAATTTTGCATTTTTATTACAATACCTACCTCAAAGTTATTTTTGCCAGATGTGAAACATATAAAATATATTTACAATAGCTAGTTATTATTTTTCACAAAGCTAAATTAAAACTACCTAGGTATGTAGATTTAAAATAAAATAAAATGTCTGCTGTACAAGTTATTTTTTTGGTGTCTTTTTAAAAAAGGCATTTCTTTCCTCAATAAAAACACATTATTTTCTTTACTGAAAACAATAATTAAAAAAACCTTTAAGCAAATTAAAGAATAATAAATTATCTTTTATCTCAAAGCTTCACCATTTTAAAAATTAAAATTATTAGCTAAATTTTTACTAAATTTTAACAGGTGGTGACATCTTTTGACTAGAAGCTACACTCCTTATACTTGGTCTACAGATTAAGAATATCTATGTGTGGTCTGTATAAAAAGTCTGTATCGATGTCTGTATGTTTAGTTGCCTAATAATTTAAAAATCCAAAAATATAACCATAACAGACCGATTTTATTTTATTCCACAAACATTCTGTGCAAACATTGTTATTTCAATCATTTAATTGTTTGCATATTGTCTGTGTGATTTATAAAGGTTGAAAAACTGAGTAGGTATTATACTAACGTAACGGTTTAGAACTATGAGGCAGATAAAAGCATAAATTCTGTGCAAAGGCGCCAGGGTTCTGTGTTTTTCCTCAAAGGGTTTTTTGATTTTTGTTACATTTTAGATTGTAGTTAGAGGGCAAAATGCCCCTAAAATTATTCTAGATCACATAAGTATGTTCTAGATCGATCAAGAATTGTCTGTACACAACTCATTTTGTTGCTGTGTCCCATTCTAAAATAGAACATAACTTCTACTCTGGCTACTAGTCCGACTGTTTCCCCCAGAGAATAGATACATTGTTTCCCCTAAAAGTCTTAATCGATGTCCGAACAATAGAGAGCAATATTAGAATATTTTTGGCTAAACTTTAATCTGCCAAAATCTCATTTAAAAATGTCGGATCCTCTTGAAGATGTAACAGCAGAAGAAATGAATGACCAATTCATATATGATGCAGGTGAACTATTCTGTTTATGTTAGTATTAACTCCATGAAACAGTTCTAATTTTTCAGATCAATCATCTGCCCTAAATTGGACGCATTGTGCTACTGAAGACTTACTCAGACTTTATTCGGAATATAATGATTTATATTTGAAAGGGAAAATAAGAACGAAAACGGAAATGTTTAAAATTGTGGGATCAGAAATGACCAAGTTAGGATATACCATGACACCAGCCCAATGCCTTAATAGATGGAAGAGTCTAAAGAGAAGTTATAGAAGTAAACTTGAAAACAGTATGAGTGGAAAACCTAATGGTAAAAGAATAGCAAGTTTTGATGAGTAAATTTATTTGTTTTCAACAGGTACAGTTTTCTTCAAACAATTGTTTTTAGACAGGTAGAAAATATTTTAAAAAAAGAGAAGCCATTCTTAAGAAAGAAATTATACAAAATATCTAAAGTACCACAAGGATATTATGTAGGGTCTGACGAAGAAGAAGAAATTGATGAAATGGAATATACCGAAACAGACGATGCATTAATACAAAGCGTTCTTAGTGATAGAGACACAGAAGTAAATACTTCTAGAACATATGAATCAAATAATATAGAGGTTGTCTATGGGGTGGAAGATGAACCAGATCACACTTATTCTTTTAAGACTTCTTCAAACAAATCACATCATTCGGTGACTGAAAAATTATCAGAGTTGAAAGACATTGTTAAAGCCAGTTTAGAAGTCAATGTACAACTGCTAAAAAATAATAATTTAGCTACAGAACAAATAGCAACGTATCTGGAAAGTCTGGAAAGGAAAGAAGAGGAGAAATTATCTATTAAAAGGAAAAAACTTGAAAGACAAACTGAATTGGTTCAACAAATGAAGATACAGAATAGCTTAATAGCAAAATTGATACAAAAGTTAGGACAAAACACGTAATATAACTATGTTTAGTTTGTGTAAAAATTTAAGGCAAACTGAATACGGAGAGACAGGAGAATAATTTATTTTGATAAAAAATTTAAAAACACTAAAGTGTCAATCATTATCCTTCCTTTGACTGAATAAGAAATAAATACTAAATTATAATTAAGTATGGTTAATTGAAAATCCATGATGAATTTTTGCCTATATAGGTACCTACTACCTATTACAGTTGAGGGTTGGAACCTTTGGTGTTACAGCAGTACAATAGAACATTAATTCACCACAAAAAAACACTTATTAGTTATGCAAATGTCATCGATTTACATTTCCAAGCCAGCTGGGTGCAGTTTTTTTCGATCATACGGTAGAATTATTTACTTATAGTGGCTAAAATACTGTTTGATTGAAAATGTAAGCAAGTTGGCACGAACATGACGATCGATGACTTCCACCAAATTTTTTACGTATGATTTCAATTTCCAAGCCAACTATGACACCGATTTTTTTCTTCGATCTTATAGTATTTTTACACGCAAATGTGAGAACTCTATTAATCATTTTGACAAGATCATGGTCTTTATTTATGATGAATGATGTTTGTCTTTTAATTTGTTGTGTAAATATTCCACAAAAATTGTCACCTGTAAATATTAGCCTATTGATTTTTGTTATTTTCTAGAACAATAAAAAAGACACTGAAATCATACACAATGTTTTATTACATTTGTTAACAATATTTATTCTTAATATTAAGTTGTATAATGAATAACCAAAAGAACATCAAAAACACAAAACAGTTACACTAAAAGGAAAACAAATTTTGGAAGTAAATAAAATATGGAGTACGTAAAAAAAAGTGTTCTGGGACATGAGCCCAACTTAGTTGGCGGTGTTGAAGTATTCCTTGCTCTTGTCCACTGTTGGTTTGATGGTTTTCTTGCCTGGAGTCCAGCCGGCTGGACACACCTCACCGTGTTCATCAGTGAATTGGAAGGCTTGAACCAAACGGAGGGTCTCGTCAACCGAACGACCTACTGGCAAGTCGTTGACAGTGACCTGACGAAGGGTTCCTGAAAGAAAACGATCAAATTATATAATGAGCAAAAAGAAATTATAAAATATTTATATTTTATTAAACAACAAATTAATAGATTGTCATCACTGTCAAAATCTATTTCATCAAGTTAATATTTATTATTATTTACTATTTTTAATAAATATAGACAAATAATTTCTTTACTTATTATACAGGGTGGTCCGAACTGTATTCCGGAAACTTCGGCAGCATATTCTGCAGATAAAAATAAGTAAAAAAGTTTGTATAAATGTATGTCCTAAAATGCTTAGTTTCGGAGATACAGGGTGTGGAAATTTTATTTTTATTTCGATTTTTTCCAAATAATTTAAGAAGTAACGTCAATATTTGGATGAAAATTGGCGTCTGGGAGTTTTTTGACATGAGAAATTTGATTTTCATGTCTATATGACCGAGTAGCGACAGTCCCGTTTTCAATTTTCTTTGCGGCTGCGCGAAATAAGTAGGTTATCTGTCATACGAAGAAGCGAAGTTGCCACTGTTGCCATTTATCAAATATATCTATATACTTTATTTCAAGTATACCTCAGGCAACGAATCGTTTTTTTAATTATTTATTAGCAGTAAGATATTTTATACATTCAAATTTAGAAATAAGGATAAAACAAAACAAAAAAGATATGTATAAAACTTTATAATTAATTCCACTTCAAATTGTGAGCAGTGTATACCATGTTTATAGGACCAATTCATAAGTTGAGCAGTTAAATACGTAGTCTGTCAAACACGTCAAAAGGGAGAGAAAGAAAATTTGGTCCCACCACATCAAAAGAGCCGACGGTTTGTGTCGCTACTAGGCGATCTACGTACTCTGATATGACTCCTACTTGTAGAGGGCGCCACCTACATATGCTTTAACTGGTTTGAAGAGTAATAACTTTTCGTCCATATAAAACCACTGAGTAAAAGAATATACATTTACAACTTTTTTTACATAAAAAGTCTCTTGGTAAAAATCGCTACGAGTAATGGTTCTCGAGATATTTGAAATTGAAATTATCAATACCTGTCATCATTGACGAATTAAACATGTTGACGAAATAGTTATTAGACTGAAATCTTAAATTTGAAATATTTTTGTGCCAAAAGTTCAACAGAAACTGTTTAATCATGATTTTTTCGCAAAAAAAATTATGATTAATTTAAAAAAATAAAAATTTATTATTTCAGTTAAATAACTCTGTGTGCTTATTTTTTGTCAATTAAATATCTTGAGAACGGTTGCTCGTAGCGATTTTTACCAAGAGACATTTTTTACGTAAAAAGTCATGAAAATGTATATCTTTTTAACCAGTAGTTTTATACAGGTACGAACGAGAAAAGTTATTATGGTGGGTTCATACAGCCAAATAAAATAAAATAAGAATAAAATAAAATAAGAAATAAGGAATTCTTATTTGTGTGCGTTCATACAGTCAAATAAAATAAAATAAGAAATATATATTTGCTCATGCGCAGTACGATGAGGCTGGATAAAAGTTAACTTTTACGATTGTTTATAGTAATTTTACTATTTATAGTATATTTATTTATTCGTTACCTACTATATTATACATTTTACTTATGTGAAATTAAAAAATAAATTAAATCCAAACTGAAAATATTTGTAGGTTAGAATTAAGCGTGCGCAAAGCCGTTTTCACATAAAATAAAACAAGAAGTTAAAAGATAAAGACTTCTTATTTTATTTGTTATTTTATTTGGCTGTATGAACGCATGTAAGGTATCCCATATAACCAACTTTCTTATTTTATTCTTATTTTCTTTTATTTGGCTGTATGAACCCACCATTACTCTTCAAAACAGTCAAAACGCATGTAGGTGGCGCCCCCTATAAATAACAGTCATTTTGACATCAAAATCAAATTTCTCGTGTCACAAAACTCCCAGACACCAATTTTTATCCAAATATTGACGTTACTTCAGGAAGTATTTTAGGACATACATTTATACAAACTTTTTTACTATTTTTATCTGCAGAATATGCTGTAGAAGTTTCCGGAATACAGTTCGGACCACCTTTGTATACTAATAGTGTTTTTTAGACGAACGATCGACTGGAAAATTGACGTCAATAAGTTTCGATCTTCGTTTTACCTGACAAGCAAAACCGACAGGTAAAACGTTAGGTGTAGCCGAGGCTTTATATATGAGCCCAATACGTACCCTTTGGATCGATGATGAACAATCCACGAAAAGCGATACCGCTCGATTCATCTAAAACTCCGTAAGCTTTTAGCAATGGCCATACTCTTGTCGGCCAAAAGGGGGATTTGCATTTCACCCAAACCTCCCTGTTTACGGGGGGTGTTGATCCATGCCAAATGGGAGAAATGACTGTCAGTGGACACTCTAAAAACATAATTAGTCAAGGTCAATTCAAAGGCTACTTTGATGCCGTTTTTTTCTCAAATAAAACGATATTTTTTAGTCTTGGGATTATCTTGCCAAGGACATCTAAATAAAGGGAGACAAAACTGTTTACATTTTGTCGCGATCAAACATCGTTTTCAACAAAAGTCGAATAACAAAAGGAATCTAAGGTTTGTGTTTGAGAACGAAGTATGTTATTATTGATATTAATGTTTTTTTGGGGTACCTGTAGAACAGGCGTACTAAATATATATGTAGGTATATCGTTTTTTAGTTAAAATACATAGAACATACAATTGAAATTATTTTTAATTTTCTAACAACGTTGCCATATTTATGTACCCATCTCTTTTTAACCCACATAAATGTGCTAAAGTATGTATGATTGTAAACAAATAAAATTTTATGAATGGACTATTTTGTCTCCCCTTCATTTAGCTGTTTTTGAATCTTACCCAATAACTGCAGTGTTAATCTTCTTGAATTCTTCAGCTCTGTCGGAGAAGGCGATGATTTCAGTTGGGCAGACAAAAGTGAAATCGAGAGGGTAGAAGAATAATACTACATATTGGCCTGCAAATGTACAATATTAGGGCAAATTTTTGACAAATAATTTTAAAGATTTGTACCTTTGAAGTCTTCCAATTTGATGTCTTTGAAGTCGCCTTTAATTACAGCGGTACCGCTGAAAGATGGTGCAGGTTTTTGTAGTGGTGGAGTCATGTTGGATATCTGCAAGAGATATTTTGCAGTAGTAAAGGTAGTATGAGACACAGCTACTTTTGTTGCGCAATTTTTTTGCAGCCGCTGCAAAAGTTACATACAGTGTTCATACACCAGCAGAAAGTAGCCCAAAACGCGCAGTTTTTATGGAGCAACTGTCTAAAAAATTCAGGTCGACACTACATGTTTTTGATATGTTCACACCAAAGCGCTACGTTTGCAACATATTTTGGTAGCCGCAGCTTGTTTTGTAGGTTTCGTCTGCTCTGCAACCAGATTTGGAACTTTTCATTCATTAACGTTCTTTCGAATATTGTGCACGCAACGTGTGAATTTTCTTTTTTATGTCTTCATCGGGCATATGTAATTCAGAAGACGTTTCCGAAATTGCGGCTCGTCTTTTCGTTTGGTTGTGATTTGTGATAGAGTGGACTTTTTACGTTCCATAAACACTCCCTTGCTTCTACCGCTTCTATTAAACATTTTACTTATTCTCTGTTCCAAATCGCTTGTTTTGACTACGACGACATCGCAATTTGTCGGTTAATTCTTTACTAAATACCTACATATAAATCCTGGAAAAAAAAGGAGAGTATACATTTCGGGCATACCAACAGAATACTGCACTGATGTCCGCAGTAAAAGTTTCAACTGATTAGTAATCTTTTGCTGCACTTGCAACCTTTCTCAACAACTATTCACACACGGCTATTTCTTAAACTGCGCGCAACAAAAAAGTAGCCTACGCAACCAAGTTGCGATCGCAGCGTTGCAGGTTTCCTAGGTATTCACACTTGCAGCAGATCAAGTTGCGCAGTTTTTTAATGTGCTGCGTAACAAAAGTAGCTATGTCTGATACTACCTTAACTGTGATCTGAACTAAAATAATGCGTTGGTATAGAATAATTGTATTTATTTACATAACGTTACGGAGTCTAGCCAATGAGTTTTACAATTTACCTATGACTTAAAATGACAGACCACTGGCAGGATAGACTCTTAAATCGATCATTAGAAAAAAAGATATCCCTAGATGAATACAATACAATTGAAAATGGACGGTCAGTCACAGCTGGCCTGGAAATGAGGATCGGCTGTCATATTATACAGGGTGGTCGGAACTGTATTCCAGAAACTTCGGCAGCATAATCTGCAGATAAAAATAAGTAAAAAAGTTCGTATAAATGTATGTCCTAAAATGCTTAGTTTCGGAGATACAGGGTGTAGAAGTTTCATTTTTATTTCGATTTTTTCCAAATAATTTCTGAAGTAACGTCAATATTTGGATGAAAATTGGTGTCTGGAAGTTTTTTGACATAAGAAATTTGATTTTGATGTCAATATGACTCCTACTTGTAGAGGGCGCCACCTACATATTTTTTTACTACTTATTTTTTAATAACGGAAATGTAATAACGGTAATTTTAATAACGGAAATGTATTTTTTTTTACCCAGTAGTTTTATACAGGTAAGGACGAAAAGTTATTACTCTTTAAAACATTTCAAATACATGTAGGTGGCGTCCCCTACAAATAGGAGTCAAATTGACATCAAAATCAAATTTCTCATCTGAAAAAAACTCCTAAACTCCTGTTCATACAAATATTGACGTTACTTCAGAAATTATTTCGAAAAAATCGAAATAAAAATGAGACTTCTACACCCTGTATCTCCGAAACGAAGCATTTTAGGACGTACATTTATACGAACTTTTTTACTTATTTTTACCTGTAGATATGCTGCCGAAGTTTAACACCCTGTAATGTTTTGTTCAGAGGTAGTAAATCTGGAAAAATATTATGCCAGAACTTAAATTAGCAATGACATTATTGCGAATTGCCGAGAAAAGACGGTAAGTTGTGCAGCGTGCGGTAGATCTCAGCCAAAAATAGAGAGAAATAAGTCAAATTAGAGAATCAGTTTAGGGAGTTACAATAGGGACCTATGTGGAGCTACAAGTATAAAAAAGGCTAAACCAATAGCCAATAGTGATTTGTTTTATCATTTTATCTAAATTATGATGTAAGACGGCTGGGTATAATAGATATTATGCTTTTAATAGTCGACATCCAAAAATTAAGAGAGAAAGAATATACTTAAACAAACTGACAGTAAACTGTCACTGTCAAACATTCTCTTGTTGGACAGACTATAGATTGATAAATAACCGACAGTCATGTGATGTAATATTATGCTAGTTGAGTCAGTGTAAGACAATTTATTTTTATTTTTATTAACTTATCCTATAAAAATAAAACTTTATCACAGAGACTTGGTATAAGCCCGAAGGTCAACTAGTTTCATTCGGAAATGATCTATTTTGTCAAGTATATAAATAAAAATATTGCCTAACCCTTCAAGATAATGTTATCTGTAATTTTGTAGACGAAAAATCGATCACTGAAAAAATTAAAATACCGAAATTTTAAACCCATACTTTCTAGAAAAAAAAATGAATTATTTATATGTATAGTAACGGTTATTTAGTCACCTTGAATATGTTTTGTTCTATTTGTTCTATTTGTTCATTTGCGTGATTGGTGTGAAATTGAATTTAATCTTATTAAATATGCACCAATGGCATGGTCAGGGTGAAGAAATGTAAACATGACTTATTAATTACTTTTGCCTTATTTGTTCTAGATAAGTAAATTTGTAAATTGACCATAATTGAATTGATACACAACCAAAAATGTATTAAGTTACTTTTATAGTGATTAATGAATATTCCAGAGCTTGTGGTATATCAGAATGACTAGCAAAATGTTAATCTTTAGAGTAACATTAAAATCCATGTATTAATTTAAAAAATATAGTTAATAGAAATGGTGTAAATATATTTATAACGAATTTCATTAAAATACATCCTATATGTTAAACGGGAGCAATGTTTTTTAATTTAAATATTGATATTATCGAAGTTATGAACTATATTAATTATTATAAATTCCCAAACCTATCAATAATTAAATTACACAAATGTTTTAATTATTCAATTCTTCATTAAATAGTCATAATTCACTAATAATATAACATTAAAGACTATGAAACTTGAACAATTCTGTATAAAAAACTAGATAAGTACATTAAAAAATTCAATTTTCTTAAAAAAATATGTTAACCTTCAAAGCCTACTGGAAGTTTTTCTGAAGGTGCGTATGCAAATAATAATTTAATTATAACTCTGATTATAATTAAATAAAACTCTTTTGTCGATTATTTTACTTCGTTAGAAGATAAATAAGTACAAGGACAAAATGAAAGAAATTTAAAATATCTCTGAAGTTTTTTATGCTTATACATGTTTGGAGGTTATATTATTAAAGAGAAATAATATTATTTATATTTTACTTTAAGGAATTCAAATCCATGTTCAACCTAATTCCAAAAAAATATGTAAAACAATAAGGTGAAAGTACAAAATGCCAAGTCAACGTGTCTTGGGATCAGGTATGATAGGCTCAAATTGGTCTTATTGATAGTGAAAATCAGTTAATTTATATTTGGCAATAAAATAATTATTAATAATTGAAAACTTACTTTAAAGATTCAGGAATTTCAAGAGCTGATGGAGCAGCTGACAGCAACAAATGCAAGCGGAAAATGACAATTGAATGGCGGCAAACGGCAACTAAAAAAATTCCTTCTAGAAGCCGGTATTTTTGACCTTGAATTGACGCAGAAGCAGTTTATTATGTATAAAATTATGATAAAATGATATTATGGGGGTATCCTCAAGGGATATTGTAAATTATTTAATTTTTCGATCAGCAGATCCAAATTTAATCCATTTAAAAAATAGATTCATCAATTTGATACTTTTTTTAATTCGAATTTTGAAGATAAGGTGGGTACTGGACAGGGCATGGAAAATTGGAATACAATTTTTCCACACCCACTGTTATAAATTCAATAAGTTAGGAATGAAATTTTTAATTTATTTTTTCACCTGTGCTCTGTTTATTTTAAATTATATCTGATTTAAACCATATTTATACTGAATATGCTAATTAAAAAAGTTAAAAATATTCTTTTTTAAATATCATTAAGTTTAACATAGGCAACTTTATATACACCACGGTGTATTTAGGGTTGACGTATAGGGAACAAAATATTTTTATTTTTTGAATTTAAAAATAAACTACAATAAGAAATTTTGAAATTCGCTCAGGTACGTTATAGCAAATCAACATGTTTTTATTTAAACTCGAGAAACTACGTTGAATATCAGTATTTTGAAAATCTTTGTTAAAGTGGTAAGTAGAAAAGTTTTTTTTAATAATTTTTTATTTTGAATATTTTCTTGCATTCTTGCCTGTTTATTTAAATAAGATAAAACATTGCAATGTCTGTTTATCAAAGAATAATATTTATAATAGGTGTGTATCTTCATGATATTCTATCTTCTATCTATTCTAACTCGAACATTTATTAAACTACCTAGGTACATTATAAAACTATTTTTTTATTTAATTCAATATGTGAATAATTCTGAATATTTTTTGACAAAACAATTTAGTACCTATCAGTAACTTGTAAAGATTCATGTATGAGATATAATACAGGCTTAGAAATTTTTATCTATTTAAACATTTAACAAAAAAATTTAGGATAGCTTTATCTTCAAAATACTTCCGCTTTGTTCATACAGTTTTAACCTCAATAATTTAAGGAGAATTACAAAAATATCTAACAAAACATTGGGTACAAAGAACGTTTTAGCGGCCAAGTTCATTTACTTCGAAATAGATTTTCGTCTTTTTCCTATATCCCAAACATGATCCCAAAATAAAATTAAAAAAATCCATTTTCATTTAAACCTGCGCACTATCCGAGCTCTTGGTTCTTGTGGAAAAGACAAAGCGCGCAATATCCAAAAATCAATAGACACGACAAGGATGCACGGCTAGATTTTTATTTTCAGGTGATCCAGAACAAAGAAAACCATACGCCGAAAGCATAATCCCGACAAGGATAGACGAAACAAAGTATTTCCTGAAACTGTGTCGTCGTGAATGGGACCTATCGAAACAATGATTTGCAATATCCGAGTCAGTCTAATGGCCAATGATAATCTCCAACTCAGCTGTTAAAAGAGGTGACTGACATTAGTTTTTGACGTCGATTTGAGAGGTTTGAGAGGAGAGGAATTAATTTTAGTGATTGTTTGGGAAAAAAACGAAACTCCTGGAACTGCAGGGTATCGACTTTGGTGAATTGTGAACACACGAGATCGTCAACATGAGCGAGCTAACGCAGGAAGAGGTGAGTTTTTCTCTGATATGTTTTGCCAAGTTTTCTGTGTTTCTTTGTTACTATCAAAATCAATTCGTAGATTGTGCAGAATCACATTGATTTTGCAACTGTATTTGTTACTGAATAATTTCTAGGTTCTTCTATGAATGTAATAACAAAGAAATATTGTGGAGGAATTACATGAAATGTTTTTAAGACAGCAAAATATTATCTGTTTTATTTGCATGATGTTTTTCTCTATAATATTCTAATTTGTTGATTAGTTTGGTAAACACCTATCTAAATCACCTGTTTATCAAGTAACTAACAACGTGTTACATTTTAAATCCTTGTTTTATTTTTTATCAATGTTATTAATACTTATTCTATTATACAATCTGTACTGACACTTAAGGTCATATCAATATTTGTTTAATTCTTTTTAAATATTTATTATGCCTTTCTAACATGAAACTAAAACAAAGTTATTACATTATTATACAATTTGCATTCAATTTTTTTTTATCTAACAGATTCGACGTCGACGTTTGGCTCGACTTGCAGCCCTGGAAAGCGGTTCCCCCTCGAATTCAATCTCACCCCCTATAACTCCTATTTCTCAATCGCCAATGTCCGTAACTCAGGGTCAGAGTCCCCCGGTGTTCGAGAGCCAAGGCAGTTCGTTAGATAACAAATTTTTCTCGAATACAAACAGTAGCACTACACCACAAGACGTGAAAAAAGACAATAACATAGCTATCGCTGTGGATAAAGAAAAGGATAAGGTTCAGCTAGAAGGTGTTTTCAAGGTATTACTTTGTTTTGAATTTCTATAATCACTGATTTTGAGTTTTTTTATTGTTTCTTTTCTAGGAGCCGAGTAAACCGATTGATATACAAATTCCATCGAGCTCGAAGCAGAGATCTAGAGCACCTCCTGTAAGGAGCGATTCTGAGACAAGTTCGATTCATATGGAAGTCGATGAAGTTAGTGGGTGTGCCGATAAGATGGGTGCCAACACTGATATAGACTCAGGATTTGAGAATATGGAGGTATGTGTATTATATAATTTTATATGCAGAAAGATATGAGTTGTACAAAGTGCTTAAATTTAAAGACAGACCTATGCAGTTCTTGCAAACATTAACTACATTTACAGCCTTTTTCTGAATAATAAGGAGTAATAAAACCTCATTATAAATTCAAAAGGATAACAGGGTAACCTACCAATAATTTATGCTAATTCAATAATATGGCATTGAAATTTGTCCCTTTTTATCACATTTAGGTAGGACCACTAGGTTTTAGGTCAATTTAGGTAGTTTGGGTATTGTGATTCCTTCAAAAATAAAGGTAATAAATACGACATAGGCGTGTGTATGGGGTTTAAAAAGAAATTAAATGATTTATTATTTTAACAAGTATAAACTATTACATTAAGTTTTTAATATATTTATTGATAGTAAAAATTATAGTCTTTCCAGATTTTTTGGGGGAGGTTCCTTTTAATCTACTGCCTTTTTGTCAATAATTTCAATACAGTGCTCTTTGCACTTCCAGTCATTCTTTATTAAAATCTTTAATTTTATAGTTTTGTTATGAATTTTGCAGCCTCAAGTGATTTTTTAAACAAAAACGGTTTGTTTTTATTTTAATCTCATAGATGTAAATAAAAAATCAACTTGTTTAAAACTTATGATATATCGAAAAATAATTGTAAAATAAAAGTTATAAAAACCTTTCCTATAAAGCTATAAAAAAGTATTCTTATAACAGATATGCTGTTGTAACATTTAAATACCTTAATATAACGAAAAATAATTGTAAACAATATAACATATAACACATATGCCTACTTAATATCTATTAATCTATTCATATATTAAAATGTTGGACCGATTTTTGAAGTTATTTCGTGTGAATCCATTATAGGTATACTTTTAAATGGTAGAGATTTATTTTGAAATTGTGAAGTTTGAGAAATCCGGTATTCCAATACATTTCATTCACAAACTCTAGTGCAGAACTAGTTTCTTCTGATGTCGGGTTATACAGGGTGTCCCAGAAATAAGGGCAGATATTTTATGGGGTGGTAGATCTGGCCAAAAGAAATATCTTTTCCCTTTACCATTTTTAAAATAAATTGAAAATAACCGAGTTATTTAACTTTGAAAATTTAAAAAAATAATGGCAACATTTTGAGAACCGCTGGCGATAGTCGGCTATGAAGGGGTTTTCAGCTCTTATTCGACGCCTCAGATGAATAAACAAGCGGCACTAAAAAGTTTTTTACAATTACCCGGAAAATGTCAAGAAAAATATAAAATTTTCAACAATTTCGCAAAAAACCCTCATAGGCGTATTTCTGGGATTAAAATATACTACCAGTTAAAATATTTGCACTTATTTCTGGGACACTCTGTATTTTTATTCCCGCGGACTATAATCAATGTCAAAAAATATGCTGGTGTCAAGGCTGTTTTATTTTTTTTTTGAAACAGCTGAATGTTGATCAAGCCAATTTTTGCTTTCCCCAATTTATCTTCTAGTTCATTCCAAATTTCTACCGACATTTTGTTCTGCAGTAAGTACTTTACAGTTTGAACATTAGATGGTACTAATTTTGTTCTCAACTTAAGACAGTCATGACTATTTCCAAAAAAATCATCGGCAAAGTTTATAGAATAAAATCGATCGATTACGCTTCATACTTTTTTTCCATAGCAACTGTTAAAATTGCCTTATATCTATCAAAAATAGTAGATAAAACAGTACTTTAACCGCAAGGGTAGATTGAATGATACTTTAACAGCGAGGATAGGTTAAAAACTTTATTTCTTCTCGCACGTTTTTTAATTGCTTCGACTTTTGAAATTTTTTTGTATTCCTTTTCATAAGTTATTCAGGATTTAAATGGAAGTAGTTTGGATATGGCGTTTGTCGCCTCATCCTGAATATCTGTTGGTAATTTACTTATTTCATTTTAAGCCATTTCTGGCTCCAATTCAATCAGCAATCGACACGAAAGAGAATTAAAAATATTTAAATAAAAATTTAGATAGATATAAAATTAAAAAACAAACCGGTATTTGCAAACGCAGGCCCAAATTCAATAAAAATCAAAATTTTTCAAGCTTTTATCAAGTGAAAAGGTGTTTTTTGATTTATCAGCAATCATTGTCAAGTTAACAATATACAGGGTGTTTTCGAATTAGTCTAAAAAAATTGTGGTGTGATTCCTCATGTGTTCTTAAAACAAATTTTTATATAACCATTGGGTCTAAAATACTTGCTTCCTGCACAGGATTTTAAAAATTAAAGAAAATCGATTTTTTTGTTTAAGATAAATGGTACACCACTGCTTTTTTAAAGAAAATATATTTTTTCCTCGACTGGCCATCCTTTTTCAACAAAATTGATCTTTTGAGTTTTTCTTGTTCATCAAACAGTTGTCGAGAAAAAAATAAATATGCTTATTAAGAGCCCGCCTTTAATCCGTTTTCTACTTTGAATAAGAAGACTAAGGAGCATATCAAAAATCTTAGGTACACCGCGATGGGCCTCAAATATGGCCGACTTAAATTCCGGTTTATCAGTGTCGTTCTAATTTTATTTAAAAAATGTAAAACTATGATGTAGGGTAGACGTGGGGTAGACTCAATAATTTGTTGTTTTATTTTACGTTGTGAATAAATGTTGGTAGTTATTAAAATTGTTATAAAAATATATAATTCTAATAAAAATAGATAAGTTATAATAAGTATTTATTAACACAAACATCCGATACGCTACTGAAGCAGGTAAGTCAAATTAACGTATCTAAATTCTTTTGACATCTAATCTTTGACAAGTAATAAATAAAAGCTAAAATGCAAGAAAAATATATAATTTAGTTAATTTAAGTGAATTTCATAAATGATCGGTTTACTACACGTATGTATATTATATAGTCACTTACTAGCGAAAAGTTGTTCCATTATTTCACTCAATTTTTGCCGAGATCTACCGCACGCTACACAACCAACTATTTCAGAGTCTTTTTCGATAAATCGCGACAGTGTCACTGTTAATTTAAGTTCTGCCACAATTTCCATCTAAATTTACTACATTTATACAACTATCAGTAGTAGAATAAATAATAAATAACATAAAATAAGCTCCGTAAAGACTGACAAATCCACAAAATTTCAAATCAAATTCAAATGTGTCAAATGAATCGTCAAACAGAACTGTCAAGGATCCCCACCCTAGAGAGCTTTTATGGTGCCTTTTCCGCCCACCATACATGAATACATGGATAGCATTATGCTCCTTCCTTAGTCTTCTTATTCAAAGAGCTAATAAAACAATCAACTTTTGATTTCTAACCACAATTTCTCTTGCCGGAAGATAACCAAAGGCGAAAATGACATTTCTTGCAAATTTTGAAGTATAATTAGAGGAAAAGTTAAAAGTTTGATAACTTTTTCTACTAACTAAAAATGTCTACCACTAATTTTGACGTTCTGAATACTTATATTGAAATTAAAGGAACAAACTGCTACGCTAATTGAAACCACTAATTTATTCCACTAATTACGAGGTTCTGAATGAAGCTTTAGCCATTTAGGATAGGACTTTAAATAGAAAGTTGATTAAAATCCAAAAATCTGATTAAAATAAAAAAAATCGATTTTATTGATTTTTTTAAAAAAAATAATGAATTTTTTGCACCCTGTTTTGAAGGAATGCGACGCATCACCGGCATCAATGGAAGCTTCGCCGATGTTATTATTATAACAGTATAGTATGTTATGTTTTGTAGGTTGACGAATCTGACATGCACAAAAAAGACCTTCACCGCCACAGAACGACTTCATCCACCGAACTGACCGTCGAACAACTTCAAGAGTCCGTAGCCCGCGTCTTACAGTGCTCCTTCACAAAATCCACCCCCTCGCGTTTGTTTTTACCGCAAACTGCCGAGTACGTGAAAGAAAACCCCACCCTCTCGATCAGAGACCAGACATCATCTGCTTTGATGGAAATACTGAGCCTTATAGGCCGCGGCGGCGACCCCTTTAAGAACATTACCCCCGCCAATCAGGACATCAGTGATACTTACAGTGTTCATTCGGGGTCGGTGAGTCCGGCCCAGAGCAGTCCCAGCACCAGCGACATGCAGTGTCCGGTGCCCGCGCTAATTATGAGGGAGGGGGCCGTGGAGAGTCCTATCACGATAGGGATAAACTACTTGATGGAGTCGTACAATAGAGTGGCTCAGGAGGAAAGAAACCATCCGAAGAAGTCGAGTATTCCTCCGTTGAGCGATGTGCTGACGGAGGTTAGGGCGCAGTTGGTGCAGTACGCTACGTTGGTTGTACAGGGTGAGTTGATGTTTTTAATGGATAAGTTTATTTTACAGGGTGTGGCAAAAATTTTGGAACAAATGGAAATGTTTTTATTGAGATATTGAAAAATTGTGTGGATTTACATTTGAGAATATTACAAAAGTCCTTTTAAACATTTGCAAAAAGTGAGGTTAGATGACAAAATATCGAACCACAAGTTGGTCAGATTTTGATTTTATGTATTAAGCTTGATTAAAATACAGGGATTTTCAAAAAATATTCTTTTTTTCTTCATTTTACGATAAAAAAAGTTTTTTGTATGCATGGCAAGACAAAGTGAATCTCATAAATACAGGGTTGTTCACCACATACGGCACGGGGTATTGTAGCTAAAGATTAGATTTTTACAAGGAGTATTAGAGCTACAATTTAAAACTGTTTTTACAAAATTCAGAGTTTCCCAAATAAGTAAATTATATTATAGTTGTATTTTTTTAAATAGAATACCCTGTATATTATTTTATTTTTAGATTCTACGATTGAAATAAAGGGAAATTTGAGTAAAGTTTGTCACACTTAAACCTTGCCGTTTTTGAAACATTTTCAATTTTATGAAATTGCAGTAAATCAGGCTTCATTTCTCCAAGAGTATCAAAGTTTTTAATACTAAATATTTACTGAAATTTATTTATTGATCAGATATTGTGCTGCAGTAATAAACAAAATACTACCTTATACAGAGTGTCTTAAAATTTATATTAAATAATTACTAGCTTTAAACGGCAGTAACTTGTTTAATTTAAATGGCTGGAGAATTAGATGCACAATTTAATGGTATAATACAATTTGATAGACAATTAAATAGTGCATCAGATTCACGTAAAATATACAGGGTGTTCCATTTAAATTAAACAAGTTATTGCCGTTTAAACCTAGTAATTATTTAATACAAATTTTTGGACACTCTGTGACTCAAAAATCACAGGCTTTAGAAAAAATTGGATACACAGTCTCATTAAGGATGTGATTCTCTAGAACTGTTTTTCTGAAAACTTCTTGTCTAAAGTAGATTATAATGGAATTAGGGGCATTTTTAAAATAACCGTTTTTTTTTTAAATATCTAGATTTTTTAAAAAATCCAAAGGCTCATATGTTTGTCCTCACAAAATTACAGTTGTTTCTCTATTTAACCGACTCTCAGTTTCCAAGATACCCATAGAGAACATCTTAGAAAACGCACCGTGTATAAATCTAGTTGAATTTTACAAAAACACCAGATATTTCTTGTAATTTTCTGTTTCCACAGTCAAATACACAATATTTTCAGTTAATGATTTTTTTTTGACATTTAGGTAGAGTATTGCCTGGGCTCGAACAAGGTTACGGAAAATCGCCTCTCCTCAACCCCATAGTCTGCCAAACGGTCCCCAGAGGATTCCTAACCGAGCTAGTGACGCGTACCCACACCAACGAAAAACTATTCCACAGGGTGTTCAGTCCGGTACTGCAGGGTCTGTTCCGTATGATGCGCACCGCCAGCATAGTGGACGACGAGCACAGATTACCGTTACAGACGCTGTTCGAATTGGCCGATATCCGGTGCAACAACAGACCTATTTGCACCCTGATCACCAAGCAGTTCCAGTTCGAAATCGTGGATCCGCTGACGAACGCTTCAGGTCAGTGAATTAAAAAATATATATTTTTTTAGTCTTAAAACTTATACTAAGGGCTGGCAAAGGTTAGTCTTGTGTCGATATTTCCGTATGTAAGAAGAGTACAATGCGTTTATTAATGTATTGAACAAAGAGAGAACAGTAAAAATGTTGCCAAACGTATGAAATAAACCGAAAAACTGTGCACATTGCTAAGGAAGATGGAACGGGATAAATCAGTACTTAACATTTTAGGGAAGAGTGTATATTATTGTTCAGCTTCACGATTTATTACGTCTCGTGGTACTTTATTTGTCAATTTATTAACGAGTCGTTGTAATTTTACCTAATTTTTAAGTGCAAGTTAGAAACACTTGCACTTTTGGTGAAAATAAGCGGAATTGAATTGGTGTTCGACACTGGTCACGCTATTAGAACTCTAAATTCAAAAATCATTAAAAATGTCTATACCTATTTGGCGGATTCATCTCTCCAAAAAATCCTAATTGGTATTTGCAAGAAAATTTGTTAGAAGTTAGGTTTATAGATATACAAATTTGCCTAACGAACAAAAAAATGCTTAACGTTTCGGAAAGTTTATCTCTTTCCGTCGCGCGTCGTCGGAAGCACAAAAAAATACAAAGAATAAAGAAAAAAAACTATTTAAAATATTTAAATTCAACTATTATTCTTCAACTATACTTATTAACAACTATGTTCAACGATTTATTCTGTGCCCTGTATAAATGCTGACAATAATAATAATAGGGAAAGGCGTACCGGAGAAATGTGGCAACGCCGCAACCGCACACCGTCGCATTTTTATTACTCCGACTTAATAAGATCCCTATGCGATTTACTTCCACTCATGTAAATACCGACCGAAAAGTAAGAGTTGCCAGCACAATATGATATAGAGCTTTTTTGGAACGCTGGTATTATCTCTACTATAAAAATAACTATCCTGTTTCAGGTCGAGAGCTAACCTTTATGTCCTTCCTCGGCCCCTTCTTGGACATCTCTGTTTTCGCCGAAGACGAGCCCAAAGTCCGGAAAACTCTTCTCAGGGAACTCAGTGAACGACAACACACTTAAACACACCCTCCAGCTGGAATTGGAGAACACACGCAGCACCTTACATAGGATTTTTCACTATATCCTCGCTAACCAAGACAGCAGGGATTCGTGCTTGAAGTACCTAGCTCAGATACTGAAAAATAACGAAAAACGGGCTCAGTTAGGTATGGAGGAACGCCTGTTGGCTGGGGATGGGTTTATGCTGAACCTGCTCAGCGTGCTGCAGAACTTGTCGCTGAAGATCAAGTTCAACAAGATGGATCTCATGTACCCCTTCCATTCGGAGGCGACGGTGCAGATCACAAATGACACAAGACTGAAATTCTCTTCGCAGGAAGTGGGAGATTGGTTAGAGGAATTTGGTAAGTAAAAATCTGTAATCGCGTGTTTTAGGGAGCATTCTATACAGGAAAGAATATTTTATGTGAAGCGCGAATATAATGCAATGTTTTACCCTTACACGTGTATGTATACAGGGTGGTTCGAACTGTATTCCGGAAACTTCGGTGACATATTCTGCAGATAAAAATACGTAAAAAATTCGTATAAATGTATGTCCTAAAATGCTTAGTTTTGGAGATACAGGGTGTAGAAGTTTAATTTTTTTCTCTCTATTTTTTCCAAATAATTTCGGAAGTAACGTCAATATTTGGATGAAAATTGGTGTCTGAGGGTTTTTTTACATGAGAAATTTGATTTTGATATCAATATGGCTCCTACTTGTAGGGGGCGCCACCTACATGTGTTTTAACTGTTTTCAAATGTAATAACTTTTTGTCCGTACCTGTATAAAACTACCGAGTGAAAAAATATACATTTCCATGACTGTTTACATAAAAAATGTCTCGTTACTTCAGAAATTATTTGGAAAAAATCGAAATAAAAATTAAACTTCTACACCCTGTATCTCCGAAACTAAGCATTTTAGGACATACATTTTTACAAATTTTTTTACTTATTTTTATCTGCAGGATATGTCACGGAAGTTTACGGAATACAGTTCGGACCACCCTGTATACAGGGTGTTCCTTAATGACATGCTAATATTTAAAGGAGTGATTCTTGAAACTATTCATAAGCTTCATATGAATGTATGTCCTAAACATCTTAATTAATGAAATACAGGGTGCTAAAATTTTCTAAGGAAAAACTGTTTTTTATAGTAACTCTGATCTTATTATAGATATCTGTATAAAACTTGATTCATGTCTTCTATACATGTATTGAATATTTTTAAAGAAAAAATTTGTACACCATTGACTTCTCTTAAAATAAAAATTATTTTCAAAATCTCCATTCATTTCGAAACAATTTTTATCTCTTGATTTTTTTGTTCGCATATTTTTTGCTTAAAAAAATTAAAGTCAGTTTACTTCAGGGACAAATCGCTGAAAATCTGATGCGGTGATTGTTGTATGGAATTTGTGTAAGGAAATTAAGAAATAAAACATTTTTTTTCTCTCCTTTAAATATTAGCATGTTATTACGGAACACCCTGTATTTAGTTAAAGTTTGGTTTGGTAAATAATAATTTGATGGGAAAAATTAGCGGCCAGCATTATTTTTAAGAATCGAATTAAAGATAGCGTTTGTTGTTATAATAAATATTTTAAATAATATAATTTCATAATCCCCCCTGTGAATTCTGCCAGACCGCCCATAGACCTTAAATTCGCTCATAGATTCCCAAAAGGATTTTGGCTAAAAGTTTTTTATCATCAAAAGTGAAGTATAATTTAACTAATAATTAATTCATTAATTTAATTAACTCGATTAATTACATCTAGCTAGCTTAATTAATTAAGTCATTTTAATTAAGTTAATTAAGACAATTTAAGTATCTTAGTTAGTTAATTAAATTAACTTAATTAATTAATTAAATTAACTTGACTAATTAATTAAATTAACTTGACTAATTAATTAAATTAACTTAATTAATTAAGTAAATTAACTTGATTAATTAATTAAATTAATTAATTAATTAAATAAATTAACCTAATTAATTAATTAAATTTAATTAACTTGATTAAATTTAATTAATTAGTTGATTAATCAGTTAATATAATTAATTAATCAATTATATTTAATACTTCTATTTTATTTTTAGGTAAAACTTACGAATTTCCAACTCCTAACTTCTCGACCATTTGCTGGTTTCTAACGTTACACTGCCACCACTTGTCCCTTTTACCCGCTTTACAAAAATATCAACGTAGGTTAAGGGCCATCAAAGACTTACAGAGGCTTCTGGACGAGACGATAGCTGCCGAGGCGCAATGGAAGAACACGCCGTTCGCCAGCAGGAACAAACAGTTCATCAAGAGATGGAAACAGCAATTGAAAAAATTAAATAAGTAAGTTCGGATATATGTACATTATTTTAAGTGACTCACTCAATTTAAAAAAAATATTTCATTTGTAATACTGCGCGATGATGTCGATTTACAAGCTAAAATTGTTTAAAACGTCTTTAGTGTCGTCTAAATTTGACGGATAGGACGCCATCATGATTTTTTTTAAATGGAAACCTCCACATCCGGTAGATAAAACCTAATTTCAAAAATATATAGCGACACCAATTAAATTTATAGTTACGTAATCGAGGGCACGATTTTTAAATTCATTGTTGCCAATCATGGACATATTCGGCGCCGGTCTGACTAACTAGAATTTAAACTTCCCGCTGGGGACTAGGGTGGTAGCTCTGCTGTAAATAAAGTCAAGTTGGCACGTTTATTTATTTATTTCCTAACATTGTCATTCGTTTTGACAGTTTAGTTTTGTATTACGAGTTTTTGGTTTAAGAGAATTGTGTTGTGATAGTTAATTAATAAGCTAATACTTAATAAATAATAAATAAAAATAAATATTGTTTTTTTACATGTGATGTTTAGATGGGGCTTTATAGTGGTGTGAATCGGCTCTAACTTGTCAATTTCTTATTTTTCAGATCCAAGGCCTGCGCAGACGCTGGTCTCCTAGACAAGAACCTGATGCGCCGTTCTCTAATTTTCTATACCTCTGTCACCGAGTACCTGTTAAGTTTAATGACGGGTGCCGCGCCAGGACAGCCTATTCCCGAACTGCCACTGCCCCCACCTCAGACACCGGCGTTCTACGCAATGCCAGAGTGGTACGTGGAGGACATAGCCGAATTCTTGTTGTTTGCCTTACAGTAAGTCTTGAAATTTACTTAATAAAAATGTATACAGCTACTTTGAATTTTGAATTAACAATTATCATTGTCATATATCCTTTTCTCTATGTAGTTTGAGCTAACAACTTATTGTCCTGCAGAGTTTATATATTTTGTAGGGACCAGTTAGACCTACTATAATATTGTAAAATCCTAAAATTAAGAAATTGGCGCTTATCGAGATTTTCCCCTGGACCCTTCATTTGTAACTTACTATTTTTTCTTCAATTTTAAGTGAATTTGTTCTATCGGTATAGCTAAAATATTCGGTTCCTAAAGCTTTATTTAGTATGTGAAAAATACTTTTTCAATCAATAACCACACATTACTAAAATCTATGTAAAATATAAAAGAAAATTTATTATCTAATGAAGTTTTTGTCTTGAAGAAAAGAACTCTGCCTTAAAAGTCTATTACGCTGTCATGTTCGGGTCGCGCTTAGGGGTCGGGTAAAGCGGGTGTGTAGCCGAAGGAAATATATATTATATTTCAGAAATCTGCCTAAGGCCTAGCCCGATTCTGTCGTGTTAAGCCACAATCAAAATTCCAAACACACGTGCTTTGATTAAGACTTGATTAAGGTTTGCAGAGCTTCAGCATTTGCCATAAAATAGCGAACAATTTGTTACAAAACCATATAAATTATATATCACTGTATTCACAAAACTTCAATCTATTTCCGTATTGTAACGGAATTTTAAATTATGTCTTTATTTTCGAGAAAATTTAGTCTAAACATAAGGAATATTTTGTTGATGTTGGACCAACAAAATCTTAAAAATAAAGAAGTTGTCTAAAAATGTGCTACAATACGGATATAGTATAATCCTTTATCTTTAATTTCCTTCTTCATTTGAATAAAAATACCTAGCCAGTTTTAGATAAACTGTTAAATGCCGAACGCTTATTTTGCTACTTTTTCGGACTAGTGAAATGGACTCTTAAATTATATAATTAAAATTCAATTTTCAGATATTTTCCAAGTGTTATAACGGATAACACCGAGGATCCCATGATTACGTGGCTCCTAGTGACTATTTGCTCATCGAACATGATCAAGAATCCTTACCTCGTTGCCAAGTTGATTGAAGTGCTTTTCGCCATAATTCCGAGCATTCAGCCCAGATGCGAACCCCTCTACAATAGGCTCATGTTACATCACATATCCAGAACGGCGTTGCCAAGTTCTCTAATGAAGTTTTACACAGACGTAAGTAGATTTTTTTATATGTAAAAATATTTATCTACAACCGTTTAGTTATAACGTTTTTACATCACTATTTTTTTAGTATTTCAGTTACGTTATGAGATTCATAACACAACTAGTGGTGTTATGAATCTATAACACAACTAGTTTTTATAATAATGAAAAACAACTATGAACATCTAAATATATTAACTTTTCCGGCAATAATGATTCCGTGGCACGTACTACTGCAACTTCTACATCTGAAGAGAGACTTTCGGAATCGCTCATCGTAATTTTTAAAATGATTTTTCTGGCCAAAAAGTGCTCGCGTTTACTTGACAGGGCAAACTGACTTTTCAGAAAAAAATGTGACAAATGTCATAGTTAAAGGTATTAAAGGTGGACGACTAATAAACGAAAATTAAAACAGCATTTTCATATTTTTCGGTTGTAGATAAAACGTTGTACATAACACGTGCGTTTAAACATGATTACAACACTCGTGTGATTAGAACGACTCGGTCTACGACTTTGTCGTTCTAATCGTTCACACTCGTTGTTGTAATCATGTTCATAAACACACTTGTACTGTCAATAACTATTATTTTCGATGATATAAATAATGATAACTAAATGTCATTATTTTACGTTACTGTCTTTTACTGTTTTTTTTGTGTTTTCGCTATACAGAGTGTGCCAAACAATCTTTTATGATTTATTAGCAATCAGAATAATTACAAAGAAAGTCTATGGGCTAATTTGATGTTGAGCGCAATGACACTCCAGTTAATGTGATGAAGTCTTCTCTAGAGAGAAATCCTTCTTAATATTCTTTCAAATCAGATGGCCATTGTCTTTTAAGTCTTCTTCTAGGTACTGGTTCAAATATCTGTCCTCTCTCCAGGAACGTTCTTTCCCCGGCGGCACTTTTTGTAAATACTACTTCGCCGGGGCGTTCTTATTTGGTGTTACTGCTGTCTATTCTTCGTAGGTGGTGCGAAGATCCTTGAGTATGGTTTCAGCATACTCTGCTACCTTGTTCCATGCCGATTGACTCTTCAGCATGCAGTCCACTATATTTTCTGGGCTGATGGACAAGCCTAGATTTCTCTCGAGTTCCGTCCTTATCTCCTCGTATAGAGGGCATCGGAAGAACACGTGCTCCGCATCTTCGGTCACCACGCGGCAATGGTGACAGTTCGGGGAGTCACTTCTCTTGAATCTGTGCAAGTATGCTCGAAAGCATCCATGTCCAGTCAAGAGTTGGGTGATGTAGAATCCAATCTCCCCGTGCACACGGGTGATCCATTTGGTGACATCCGGGATTAGTCGATGTGTCCACCGACCTTTCGTCGAGCTGTCCCATCTCACTTGCCAGAGACGATGACTTTCAGGCCTCTCTTCTTCACAGAAGACCTGTCGCTGCTCGGCTTTCTTCTTACGGTGTTGTCGCTGGCGTTCTCCCGCCAAGATGTCGATAGGCAGGCATGATGCCACTACACTCACTGCATCCTGTGATACCGTTCGGTATGTTGACGCCACTGTGATCGCAGAGAGTCGGTGGACTGATGTCATTGTCCTGCGATATGTTTTTAGTTCCAGCGATTCTGACCACACCGGTGCTCCGTATAGCAGGACGGAGGTAACTATAGTCTATCCAACGAGAAGATCCTTGACAGTGATAGACGTGTCTGTCATTTTAATTTCAAAGTAGTTTATTTTATTTTACAAAGAAATAAGTTGGTACAACTGGAACGCATAGCACGAAATTAATATATGTATTTAAAATTTGATTGACAAGTAACTTCAAAATATTGTGAAAAAAACTGTATAAAACTGAAAAAATGAAATCAAGTTATTTTATTTAATAAAAAACGGTTTGTGTTAATACAAAACAAACAAAAACAAGAGACCACATACCAAAGAATATAAAAACTATTTCTTACTTTCAAGCTTTATGAAACTTCCCGCATTTATGATTATATTTATCAATATAACTTATGTACAAATACAAATTTGTAATATTCCGCAGGAATAAATAAAACAACATAAATAAAACAAACTATTTTATTAATAACACTTACCAAATTTTATACCTCACAGGTTGATTAATTAACTTTAATCTTAATTTTTTAAACCAGTACCTTTTGACATTATTTTTCTGCAGTACTAAAATCCATTATTTACCTATCGTGTGATGTCGATATTTTACAGCTACTCCAGTTTTTAGTATGGGTTTAGTATAGTCCTTCTACCATATTCGAGATGCACTTATCTACGACGAGATGGTATACGAACTTTATTGATAGTAACTTTATTGGTGTATCTGTATAAGACTTTCTGTCTGGGCAGCGACTATTAACCATAAACTGTGCTCTGGGTTCTACAGTTAATTTTCACTCGATTTTTCCTCCACTTGACTGCAAAAGACACGAAACACACCTAATAACACGAATCAAAATGCATTATCTTCCAAAACGCAGGGTATTTGACAAAAGTTGTCACAAAATTATAACCTATAATTTGGCAAGACTTTGACAAACGTCAAAAACCTAAAGGCGAGTTCATACGCATCGGCGTCCGTTTGTCGTTCATCGTTCCGTCAAACCAATAAAATTGAAATACGATCTGTCATTTTTGAAATAAACCAATAAAACTGATTAAAAACAACAAGTGACGACGCATGACGAATTTATATTTAAACCCATCCATAGTTAACTTAAAAATTATTAGAAACTTTTTTTATTAAAATAAATAGATTGGTATGGGACGTCATCTGCTTTTCTTCTGTCATCGTCTGTCGAAATCTTACCTGAGAAAAAAAACAGAGTATACTGTTGCAAGTAATCGTCTCCGGGATTGCCTGGGGCCTCCGATATTGGGCATAATCCGTGAGAGTGCGTCCTGAACTGCTCCCGCCTTCTTGCTGACGCTGGAGATATGCTCCTTGTAGTTGAGCCTCTCATCCAAGACCACTCCAAGGTACCGGATATGGGGTTGCGACTTGATATCATGGTCGCCTACTCTGATGGTGATGGTCTCCATTTTCTTCCGGCTACTCACTAGGAGTGCTTCAGTTTTATGCTCCGCCAGCGACAGGTCTGCCGATTGCATCCACTGTCTTATCCTCCTGATGGTGATGGAGAATACAGCTTCCAGCTCCTCCAAGTATTTCGCCACAAGGACAACCGCCACGTCGTCCGCGAAAGTCACGAGTGTTGTGTTGGCCGGTAATTCAAGGTGAAGCAGACCGTCGTACATAACATTCCACAAGAGTGGCCCCAGGACAGAGCCCTGAGGTACCCCTCCCGTGACCCCATGCACCGCTGTTCCCTGCTCCGTCTCGTAAAGCAGAAGTCGATCGCTGAAATATGATCTGACCATCCTTCGTAGGTAGTAGGGTACACCCATGTGCTCGAGAGCCTCCAAAATGCGATCCTAGCGGGCTGAGTTGAACGCGTTTTTGATGTCTAAGGTGACGATGAGGCAGTACTTTTTGGAACCGCCTTTCCATCTCTTTCCTGAGATGGCTTCCTTTGGTTTTGGTTCAAGTAGGGGCTGAAGTAAGGTATTAGTGTGGTCATGTAGTCTTGAAATGTCTTTTGCTCTGAGTTTGTATGACTTCTTTGACGTACGGAATTTTTAAGTCTTCATGCAGTAGTGCGTCTGTTATCATATGCCAAAACACAAATGGGAATTTTTGATAATGGAGTTTTTAAAAAGAGTATAAATATGCGGAATTTCTTCAGCATAACAAAAAACATATTTTTGACATATGTCATGTCACAACAAAAACTTTCTATAGATGAGCAAAAACTGGATATAGGTGACAAAATATTGAAGAAAGTCAAAAAATATAAGGTGTAGATTGTATGGGAGATCTTATAGATTTTTTATGTCCCCTTTCCTTGAGTTATAACTCATCATACAGTCTCAGGGCTTTGTCAAAAGCCAGTGCCGGTTTCACAGAGGTTAGTTTTCCATCACCGATATGATTTGTACAAAAGTTTATAGCACAAATGGTTGTCGTCTCGGCGCACTCAGTGATGAGGTGTTCTGGTTTTTCCCCATTTTCCCCACAGAATCTGTATTCTCCGTTGTTTCTTAGGTTGAATCTACTGAGCTGTTCATTGAGGAGACAGATTGTTCTTACTTAAATCAAGGAAAGTCTTTGATTTTTCTCGGTCGACGTCTTGAGAAACTTCTTTGAGTATCTTAGACCGTTATGGTGCAAGTACACACTCGGCGAGGCGACTCGAGGCGCCACAAAAAATTAACGATTTGTACATTGTTATTGGTTAGGTTAGGTCACCATTATTGGTTGGTCCTTTTTTGTCACGTTTCGGGTCGCCTCGGCGAGTGTGTACTTCCAGCATTAGAGGATTCCCATTGCAGGTTATGGATGGAGTCTTCCAGGTTCTGCTTTAAGTTGAATACACATAAAATGTTTAGAGTTCTAGATTGAATATACAGAGTTTTTCAAAAATATTAGTATTTCTGAAAAAATAATCAGTTTAAAAAAAATCACTTTAAAAAAATCAGTTTTCAAAAAATATCTATATTGTGTAAGCTTGAGGAAAAGCCTTGCTATACGCGATGTTAAATGTTGCAACCAGAAAAACTTACGCCAGAAGAACTATATTTGAATTTTTCAAAATTTCAGGTTGAAACTACAGGCTCAAGTTCAGAATTCTATGATAAATTTTCGATAAGATATCACATCAGTCTAATTATTAAAGGTAATATAATATATTCTATTTTATTTGTGGTATGTTTTTTACTTATTTTTTATTTATTTTCAAAAGGAATGTGGGGATCCCCCATTCACAGGCAAACCGTCGTGAACGAATCGAAGAACGGCAATCACTTTGTTAAATTTGTAAATATGTTGATGAACGACACAACGTTCCTGTTGGACGAATCTTTGGAATCGTTGAAGAGAATACACGAAATTCAGGATTTGATTGCAGACGATGAGAAATGGTAAGTGTCGAAAAATCTATAAAATATTCCACAAAATGATTGATAAAAATTTAAGAATTGATTTTACCTTTCAGTTATTATTATTGCACTTCATTAAGGTTGATTCTCACTATACCTTCCGTATCAGCTCCCTTCCGTTTACATAAAATATTATATCATGTAAATGAATAGGACAATGTACACTATCCGTTCCGTTTCCCATCCGTTCCATATCCTTTCCCTCCATACATTTTTTTGACGGATGGACTGAAGCATATCCGTAAAAGCTTTGTCAAGTTCTTACATTTGTACCAGTTCTGTTAAAATGTTGCTGATATTTATTTATTCCTTCGCCTCTTAATTAAATCTATTCATCATCATCATCAGCCAGCCCTTTGCGTCCACTGCTGGACATAGGCCTCCCCCATTTGCGCCCACTGTTGCCTATTTTGTGCGCTCTGGATCCAGTTATTGGTGATCCTTTTTATGTCGTCAGTCCATCGTGTTGGTGGTCTTCCCTGGTTTCTTTTGTCAGCTCTCGGTCTCCATTCGAGCAGTGTTTGGTCCACCTACCATCGGTCACTCGAGCCACATGTCCAGCCCACTTCCACTTGAGTGTAGCGATTCGTGACACAACGTCGATGACGCCTGTTCTCGCACGTATATCCTCGTTGCTTATATGATCCCGCAAAGACACTCCAAGCATTGATCTTTCCATTCGTCGCTGTGCCACTCTGAGCCTCTTAGCAGATGCGATGGTCAGTGTCAAGGTCTCAGCTCCATACGTCATAACCGGTAGTACACATTGGTTGAAAACCTTTCGTTTTAGGCAGATTGGCTGGTCGCCCTTAAACACATCTTTTAACTTTCCATAGGCGGCCCAAGACAGGGTTATACGTCTCTTCAGTTCGCATGTCTGATTGTCTCTTGTGATCTGTATCTCGTGTCCCAGGTAGTTATACCTATCCACAAGCTCCACCTCACTGTCACCCACAACAATATTTCCACTGGGAACCAGGTTGGTCATGAATTTGGTTTTTGAGAAGTTGATCTTCAGACCAACCCCGATACACACCTCCCGCAATTCTCGGAGCATCACTTCAGTATCCCTTAGGTTGTCGGATAATAAAACAATGTCATCAGCAAAACGCAAATTTGTGAGGTTCTTGCCATCAATCATCAGTCCCTTCCCCTCCCAGTCGAGTTTTTTAAAGGCACTCTCCAAAACGGCGGTAAATAATTTCGGTGATATAGTATCTCCTTGACGAACGCCCCTGCCTATCGGTATGGTTTTAGTGTTCTCGTGTAGTTTTACCGTCATCGAGGCGTTTTTATAGATATTGTAAATAAGCCTTGTGTATCTATAGTCCACCCGACATTCTTGCAAGGACCTTATCACTGCATCCATTTCTACTGTATCGAAAGCTTTCTGGAAATCGACAAAAGCAAGTACAAGCGGCCTGTTGTATTCAATGGATTTTTCTATTATAATTTTAATACTCTGGAGATGGTCATTGGTTCCGAACCCTGCACGGAAACCCGCTTGCTCTATCGGTTGGTAAAAATCCAATTTCTTCTCGAGTCGTGTTGTTATTATCCTCGTAAACAGTTTATAAAGGTGGCTAAGCAGACTTATCGGTCTATAGTTTTCTAGATCTGCTATGTCCCCCTTTTTGTGAAGTAGTATTACTACAGCATTGTACCACTTCCCAGGCAGAGTACCATCAAAAAGGCAAAGGTTGAAAAGATCCACAATCTTCTGAAGCAAACATTCACCACCAATCTTAATTGCATCTGCGACCACACAATCCTCGCCGGGAGATTTATTATTCTTGGTGTTCCTTAAGGCTAGTTCCATTTCTTCAAGTGTGATATCTGGTAGTGTTTCTGACCCTTGATTTACGATGCCCTTTGTCCATGTCAATATCTCTGGTTCGACTTCTGAATCCTGTGTCCCTTCCCCCCGACTTCGGTACAGCAGTCTATAAAAGTCCTCAACTATCTTTAAGATCTCCTCCCTGTTGGTCGTGATATATCCCTGATGGTCTCTGATTTTTGTTATTCCAGCTGTTCCGCTTTGAAGACTCTTTCGTAGCACTTTCATGCTTTTATTATTTTCTATTGTCCGTCGAATCTCGTTTTGATTAAATGTTCGGAGGTCGCGCCTAATGGCCTTTGATATATGTTTGTTTATATCTCTTAATTCGTCGACAGTAGTCAGCTGTTCACTTCTCATGGCCCGTCTTTTATCCATAAGTCTCTTGGTAAATTTACTGAGTTTTTCTTCTCTTTGTGTCTTGGGGCAGTACCTGTTTTGACTCTCTAACAACGCATTTGTGATGTTTTCGTTTAAACCGTCAATACTGTTCTCCTGCGTGTAATCCTGTAGCTGTTCTGTGATACAGCGCTGGAAACCTTCTAAATCTGCCGGCTTTGTCCATGATCTACTACCAGCCTTTTTAATCATTTTAAGGCGTTCTTTTCCTGTGTTAAGTTCAATTCTGGCTCGCACTAGTCGATGGTCGCTTCCTGTGGTTAGTTTATTCAACACCGTCAGGTCTTTAACTATATGCCTTTTATCGGTAATGATGAAGTCTATTTCATTCTTAGTTCGCCCGTCCGGGGCTTAATTATATAATTACCGGCGATATTAAATCTATTACCTTTTTCAAAAGATACAAATTTTTAAAATAAATATTTCGTAATGATATAAATTGTACAGGGTGGCGCCTCTCATACGCCGCGGAAGCTCCAAGGAGAACAGTAGTTTATATCGAAATGAAATTTTGGCAGCACATGTAGGCTGACTGAAAGCATTTTATAAAAATATATAGAATTATACAGGGTGTCCCCAAAAAAAGTTACACATCAAAGTTATGCTTTTTCTAATACAACACCCTATATATTAATTGATTTTCGGATTCTAGGAAAAAAATAAAGGTGAGTTTTATTAAAGAAGCATATACCTAAAATCTAAGGATTTTGACATATTTCACATTTTGTGAAAATGAAGAGTAAATTTTAAATTTCGATAACAGCTACCTAAATTTTTGTTGACCTTGTATAGCCTGATATTTAATTACAGTAACCATTGTATGTTAAACCAAATTGAAATTTGGTCAGAAAAGTTATACAGGGTGAGACAAAATTAATATGGAACATTAGTCACGTTTAAAAGCAAGTTACTCCTTTATTTTAAATGGAACACCCAGTATATTTTTCCGGTGTTCAATGGGGAATTTATATATCTTGAAATTATTATTAAGGTTGCCTACCCCTCAGACAAAGATTTTCCTAGATATTTTAATTTTTATGATTTTGCGTCAGTAGATCTTTATTATTTGAAAAAATCTAGTTGGCTGTGTGATATACCTTTTGTTAATTTAACAAAAATTAAAGATTGTAGAGTAAAATACTCAACGGTAATAAAAAGACACACGTTTAAAACATATGTTAATTATTACAAAATTAAATTCAGATATAAACCTATAATAAAATTATGACAAAAATTAGCTAGATGAAATCAAATGCTCAAAATGCTTCCTTTCCTGTTAACTGAATTGTCTTTTCAAAAGGATCTTTTCATTTTAAAAGGTATATGTGGAGTTCTACCTCGAAAAGCAGCTACAAAGTAGCTCTCATGTTGTCGACAATAGTTGGTCGAGTTTTGTAAACGCTGTCTTTAACATATCCCCATAAAATAAAACCAGACTTGATAAAATCAGGAGCATTTAGGTATTCTATTAATTGGTGAATGCACACTGCATTCACCAACTAATAGAATCGTATCAGTTCTCTCTGATGTAGGATAAGTTTGCATTTTTGGCAAATTTCTGAGAAATTTTTTTGTTTTAACTAACACAAAATGATAACTAGTTGTTAAAGTTGTACTAATTAGACAGCTATGTTGAAGTAACGTCAGACATATCACAGCCAAGTACCTGTACAGTAAAAACTATGGAACTGATACGGAACGGAAGCTTACGTGTAGCGTCAATACAATAAAAAATACGGAACGGATATGGAATGGAAACGGAAGGTATAGTGAGAGTCGACCTTTATACGGACTATTTTCTTTTCTAAGCTTTTTCTCTTATTGTTTTTTTTTGCGTCTGGAGTTAAATGAAAGAGCAGATTTTAATTTTGAAAAACAAAGTAAAATTGATTATTGTTCTTTTAGGTCCAAACTGCCCACAGACCAGCAACAAAGTCGTATGCGTCAGCTCAGCGCCGATGAACGACAATGCAAGTCGTACCTGACGTTAGCGCGGGAAACGGTGGACATGTTCCACTATTTGACAGTTGACATTAAGGAGCCATTTTTAAGACCGGAATTGGTGGGCAGATTGGCGTCGATGCTCAACTTTAATCTTCAACAGTTGTGCGGAAAGAAATACAAGGATTTAAAGGTACATTTATTCTTTCTAGTCTTATTTTATAATATGGTAAAAATAATTTTCAACATCATCAATATTATCGAAGAAAAAAAATTTAGTTCTAGGCATTACTGTAGTCTATTACTGAAGATTTTGACAATGACATTTGTTTGACAAATGTTAAAACTAAAGCTTTATTCAGAGCCTCGCAATTAGTGGTTTCAATTAGCGTAGAAGTTTGTTCCTATAATTTGAATGTAATGCTTTCAGAACGTCAAGATTAGTGGTAGGAATTTTCAATTATCACGAAAAGAATATATTAAAACCGCATTATAACGAGAAAACTTTCCTGGACTGAGTCCTTTCGAACTGGATGGCATGTGTCCATCAGCAGTTTACCATTAGCTGAAGAAGTAGGATTCTTCGGTTGTGGGGAATAAATTCATTATTAAATAACATTATTATCATCAAAAGAATATATTAAAACCGCATTATAACGAGAAAACTTTCCTGGACTGAGTCCTTTCGAACTGGATGGTATGTGTCCATCAGCAGTTTACCATTAGCTGAAGAAGTAAGATTCTTCGGTTGTGGGGTATAAATGCATTATTAAATAACATTATTATCATCAAAAGAATATATTAAAACCGCATTATAACGAGAAAACTTTCCTGGACTGAGTCCTTTCGAACTGGATGGCATGTGTCCATCAGCAGTTTACCATTAGCTGAAGAAGTAGGATTCTTCGGTTGTGGGGAATAAATTCATTATTAAATAACATTATTATCATCAAAAGAATATATTAAAACCGCATTATAACGAGAAAACTTTCCTGGACTGAGTCCTTTCGAACTGGATGGTATGTGTCCATCAGCAGTTTACCATTAGCTGAAGAAGTAAGATTCTTCGGTTGTGGGGTATAAATGCATTATTAAATAACATTATTATCATCAAAAGAATATATTAAAACCGCATTATAACGAGAAAACTTTCCTGGACTGAGTCCTTTTGAACTGGATGGTATGTGTCCATCAGCAGTTTACCATTAGCTGAAGAAGTAAGATTCTTCGGTTGTGGGGTATAAATGCATTATTAAATAACATTATTATCATCAATAGAATATATTAAAACCGCATTATAACGAGAAAACCCTGGACTGAGTCCTTTCGAACTGGATGGCATGTGTCCATCAGCAGTTTACCATTAGCTGAAGAAGTAGGATTCTTTGGTTGTGGGGAAGAAATTCATTATTAAATAACATTATTATCATGAAAAGAATACATTAAAACAGCATTATAACGAGAAAACTTTCCTGGACTGAGTCCTTTCGAACTGGATGGCGTGTGTCCATCAGCAGTTTACCATTAGCTGAAGAAGTAGGATTCTTCGGTTGTGGGGAATAAATTCATTATTAAATAACATTATTATCATGAAAAGAATATATTAAAACAGCATTATAACGAGAAAACTTTCCTGGACTGAGTCCTTTCGAACTGGATGGTGTGTGTCCATCAGCAGTTTACCATTAGCTGAAGAAGTAGGATTCTTCGGTTGTGGGGTATAAATGCATTATTAAATAACATTATTATCATCAATAGAATATATTAAAACCGCATTATAACGAGAAAACCCTGGACTGAGTCCTTTCGAACTGGATGGCATGTGTCCATCAGCAGTTTACCATTAGCTGAAGAAGTAGGATTCTTCGGTTGTGGGGAAGAAATTCATTATTAAATAACATTATTATCATGAAAAGAATACATTAAAACAGCATTATAACGAGAAAACTTTCCTGTACTGAGTCCTTTCGAACTGGATGGCGTGTGTCCATCAGCAGTTTACCATTAGCTGAAGAAGTAGGATTCTTCGGTTGTGGGGAATAAATTCATTATTAAATAACATTATTATCATGAAAAGAATATATTAAAACAGCATTATAACGAGAAAACTTTCCTGGACTGAGTCCTTTCGAACTGGATGGTGTGTGTCCATCAGCAGTTTACCATTAGCTGAAGAAGTAGGATCCTTCGGTTGTGGGGAATAAATTCATTATTAAATAACATTATTATCATGAAAAGAATATATTAAAACCGCATTATAACGAGAACACTTTCCTGGACTGAGTCCTTTCGAACTGGATGGTATGTGTCCATCAGCAGTTTACCATTAGCTGAAGAAGTAGGATTCTTCGGTTGTGGGGAATAAATTCATTATTAAATAACGTTATTATCATCAAAAGAATATATTAAAACCGAATTATAACGAGAAAACTTTCCTGGAGTGGGTCTTTTCGAACTGGATGGAATGTGTCCATCAGCAGTTTACCATTAGCTGAAGAAATAGGATTCTTCGGTTGTGGGCAATAAATTCATTATTAACAAACTTTTAACTTTTCCACTAATTATACTTCAAAATTTGCGAGGAATGTCATTTTGACCTTTGATTATCATCTGTCAAGAGAAATTGTGGTTAGAAATCAAAAGTTTATTGTTTTACAAGATAAATATTAGACATTTTCTGTGGACACAACTGATAAGCTGTTGCTAGGATATTTTATTTTAATTGCGTTTTTTGGACATTGTGAATGATTGTAAACTAAAAAGTATTTAGTGTAATTGAAACCACTAATCTATTCCACTAATTGCGAGGTTCTGAATGAAGCTTAAGGCTGTATTTCGTTTCTTACCTTCTTGGTTATGGTGTTTTGTTTGTTTTTTCTATGTTTTGTCTGAAATTATAATTATGGAACACGGTTCCTGAAAAATATCCTCAGTCATTATTGTCACTTAATTAGCCAGCACAAAAAGGCGAGTTTTTCTGTTTGTTTGTTTTTTGTCAATTATGTCATTATGTAAAAGATATTATGACATTATATATTTTTTTCCATATATTTTATTTATTTAGGTTGAAAATCCGGATAAATACGGCTGGGAACCTAGAAGACTCCTAAGTCAATTAATTGACATTTACTTGCATTTAGACTGTGATAGTTTTGCTGAGGCTCTTGCCGGCGATGAGGTAAATTACTGACATCTGTCGAGAAACGTTTGAACATGTTTTTTTTAAATATTTATTTTCTTCAGAGATCCTTCAGCAAACAACTTTTTGGTGATGCAGCTTCTCTTATGGAAAGAGTCGGAATTAAGACGTTGGTCGAAGTCGAACAATTCAGGGAATTGGCGGAAAAAGCATATAGAATTTTAGAAAATAACCAGAGGTATGTATAACTTATGTCAATAAATTGGATAAACCTACTAAGGAGGAGTTAAAAATACTTCTTTTTATTTTTATACAATAAAGACGTCGGGGTGGCCATTTTCAGACACTTTTTTTTTCTGTTTTGTGAGACTTGAATTTTTTGAGGTCGCTAAGCTTTTTTCACGTGCGTCAGGGATGCATCTTGTCTCCCATCCTTTTCAATGTATACAGGATGGTCCAAACTGTATTCCGCAAACATTGGCAGCATATTCTGCAGATAAAAATAAGTACTAAAGTTTGTATAAATGTATGTCCTAAAATGCTTAGGATTTGAGATACAGGGTGTAGAAGTTTCATTTTTATTTCGATTTTTTCCAAATAATTTCCGAAGTAACATCAATATTTGAATGAAAATTTTTATCAAGACACCTTTTGTACGTAAAAAACGTCTTAAACGTATATTTTTTTACTCAGTAGTTTTATACAGGTACGGACGAAAAGTTATTACTCTTCAAACCAGTTAAAAAAATTGTAGGTGACGCCCTCTACTAGTAGGAGTCATATTGACATCAAAATCAAATTTCTCATGTCAAAAATTCCCAGACGCTAATTTTTATTCAAATATTTATGTTACTTCAGAAATTATTTGGAAAAAATCGAAATAAAAATGAAAATCTTGACGCTGTTTTTTTTCGATAGTATGGTATAATTAAAAATCAACCGGAAGTCAAGTGGTCTCACTCAAGAACGGTAAACTAATAGGATTGCTCATCCTCATAAGACGTACGTTCGCCTCTTCCCGCGCTTCAGCTGACAGTTGTGACGTCATTGTAGCCCTTGTTAAAGCCTTCGTGGCCTTGTCATGATAGTGTGTATTATTAGTTGCCTATGGTAAACTTATAAAAATAACAGCTGAGAAATTTTGAGTTAATTATTTTGTCAATTTTAAATGTGAATACGGTAGTATGTGTTATTTTAGTTGATAGTAAAGAGTAGTAAAAGCTTAAACAGTCAGCGAAAACTGCATCTTGATATCTTCTTTCAAACCAAAGATATTAGGAAAATTAAAATAAATACCAAAAAATCAGCCCTTAATTACCTTATTTTTACAATACAGTATCAGTAACCCTCTTGATTAGGCCCATTCTGACAAAAAAATAAGATAGAAACAGTTACTTTATTTTAAAATCGACGAAATACCAGAATACAATAATACCACATGTATTAATATCTATAATAATTAAGATATTAATAATAGTGAACAAGAAACGATGATTCAGTGAAGTCATGGTAGGCTTTGGAATGTAGTTTGGATGGTAGTCTTTAAAGTTTTTAGAGCTATAGAGTGTATAAATACTTTCATTTTGAGTTGTGGATTATGACAAAGTGCATACTAAGTGCCCACGATTTTGTTTATTATTTTAAAGCAAAATATGGAAGTACTCTAAAAAGAATGCTTGCAAAAGGTGATGCTGGGAACTGCTGTTCTTAAAAATGCATTATCCGAGTATTTAATACGATTTATACAGTTAATTTTCTATACTGCATACATATAAGGTGTTTAAATAAATAAACTAAATAATTAACGTTTTGCATTCGGCAACCAATAATGCACGTGTGTGTATTATTGGTTGCCGGATAAGGACTAATAATCATGACAAGGGCTACAATGACGTCACAAAGCGAGTAGTTTTCGCATGCACCTGGCGGAGACTTTTGGCTGAATGAGCAGTCCTATTAGGTTAACTGTTCTTGGGTCTCACAGAATTTGTTTGATTGACTCTTGCTTTAGTTTTTTTATAGAGTTTTTTACAGCATTATAAGCTAATTATTATTTTTTAATTTTCCTTCAAGATCTGATGAATGGTTAGAAGATGCGCCAGACGAATTTAAAGATCCTCTGATGGACACGCTTATGACCGATCCGGTATTATTGCCTAGTGGACAAATTATGGATAGATCTGTCATAATGAGACATTTATTAAATAGTAATACAGATCCCTTTAATAGGCAACCTCTAACTGAAGATATGCTTTTACCAGGTAAGCAAACTCTTAAATACCGTGCGATAAAAAAAAACGACATCATAGTGACTTTTGAAACGAACCATGACTATTTCAGAGGCTTCTCTGACGCCGTTTTTTTTTCGTTTGTGTTGTGATTTATTATACATCTATTGTTTGTTTTAAACAATTATTGTAATAACTGTTTATTCTTACAGTTTTAAATTTTATGATGACACATTTCATATAGAGGGTGTCCCAAAAATAAGTGAAGATATTTTAAGGGGTGATAGATCTGGTCAAAAGAAACATATTTTCTCTTTGCCGTTTTTAAAATAAATTGAAAATAACCGAGTTATTTAACTTTTGAAAATTTTAAGAAATAATGGCAACATTTTGAGAACCGCCGGTAGATATCATCAACTATTTTGCAATTACCCGGATTTCAGGTAATTCGACGCCCTGTATTGCGACATGGTCAAGAAAGTATATACTTAAAAATAATTCAGAAAATCACACTACCAGAAGAATTTGGCAGAGATGCATTACCTACATTTTTAAGATGGTGTTATTATTACATAAAATAAAAGAAAAAACTTCCCCACAACATAAAAAAAGACTTATGACAGATCAATGTAACTGCGACAGTGGGCTCTTTCACTATATTTTGGAATTCGCATAATTGAATAAAGCAATTAATTCTAGAATTTTCTGCTATCTCACTTTCGAAAAACTTGAAGTCGTTCTTAAGAAAATAAATAAAAACAAAAAAGCCCAGAATAAAAAACCGCACTTTATTTTTAATACGTCACACCTGGCATGTTGAAAAGCGGCAACACCGCCGGGCCACCATGCTGACCCATTTAAAATTTAACCATTTCGGCGTCAACTTTAGGAATGTTATCAGATGACCTGATAGGCCTTTTCGAATCCAGGTTATGGTACGACCATGATGGAACAAATTATCAAAAAATAACAATTTAAAACTTAAAATTTGATTACAAGCTTTCACAAACGGAGTAAACAAGAAATTTAACCTCAAATTTATTATTCAACATGCACGTCAAATCAAATCGCAATGTTGCCAGTTGTTGGCTGGCGCACGAGCACGGTTCTGCAATGTGATTGGACGTATTTTTCATACGTCATCAATTGGCACTTTAAAATTATTCCAACTTAAAGCAATATTGAGGGCCTATAAAAAATTATTCAATGTGGAACTATTTTTGTTGGATAAATATACTGAAAATAGTCTTCTTTTTCAGATTTTGTCCTTGAATTGGGTATTTTATTTTTTGTGAAAGAGCCCGTTCTCGATACACACTTAACTAAAATACACTCCACTGTACTGCTTGTACATGCCATTGTTATAACTGCTAAAATAACAAGTGTTTTTTGTTCTAGAACTATTAGTAATGCTAATAGTAAATTAACTTTTTAATAATAGTAAATTATAAGTAATAATTATTTTTTGTAAAGAAATTTAAAATTGCTGGGAATTTATAAATATATAAATATGTAGAATGACGATAACGTAAGAGATGGCAACGCTGCAAGGTTTAGGTACACAAGAGAAATATCCGCTGAATAAACAAGTGGCACTAAAAAGTTTTTTAAATTTCCCAGAAAATGTCAAGAAAAATTTTAAATTTTCAACAAGTGAGTGTTTCTGGGGCCGAAATATACTACCAGTTAAAATATCTGCACTTATTTCTGAAACATCCTGTATAATTTTATAACCTAATTTTGACAACTTCACAATTTTCATTTTATTTTTTGGATTTACGTCAAAATGACATTTGCAAAGCTGAAATTAGTCTGTCCAAAGTGACGGAAGAATTTGACAGGCGGGAAAAATGACAGTTAATTTACATATGAATTAAAATGACAGAAAATAATTGTCACTCTCATGTACCCTCTCTTTGGACGGACTAAATAAGTTATGAAAGGATTTTGTTGTTAATTTCTTGAAAATGTCTTGATTAATAATAATAATAATGATTAAAATCTGATAAAGATTACATTAAAGAAACTACCAAAAATAAATTTTGAAATGAAATGTTATAAGAATGTTCAAGGAGACTAGTAACGATTGTTCTTTTAATATTTTTTCAGCCGATGATTTAAAAGAAAGGATAAGAACATGGAAATCAGAAAAATCAAAATCGTCGAATTGAGAACCTGTTTTAAGACTAAATATAAAATTATTAATTCCTATTTTCCAATTCAATCAAAATATTGTTTAAATTATATATTAATATTATTATCGCTATTATTTTGTAAATTTGGTTTTTTCTTTTATATATAGGTTTTATATTGCGAGGAGGTTAAGATTTTTTACACATTTATTATTACGGTCGCAGTTCGAGATTCTGTCCATTTTTTCTTTAATCTATTGTGAAAATACGTGCGACGCATGATGTCACAAATGCAAGGTTAAGTATTGATGGTACAATCAAGGCTGATAACTTTTAGATCTCATGTTTAATACGACAAAATAAATTTATTTTAGCATTTTTTCCCTAACAAACAATAACTTGCTTTTTCCATATGTTCAAAAATTTTATTTTTCAATACCATACATTATTTTTTTATACCACAAAAACTACACGAAGCGCAAGCTCTTCTCATTAGGATATCTGTGTTTCGTTATAAGATCTTTAAATAAACAATTTTAACATTTATGTTACAATACAGTTAGTTGAGTGTTACTTGACAACAATAATTGTTATATTTGTTTACTAGGGTGGGTCAAAAAAATCGATTATTTTTTTTTCACTTTATACTCTGAAAAAAAGGTTGGTAGATACCTCAAAAAATTATCTCCAAGTATGAGCTCTTAATTTTAATAGAAAGGTCCTCCGCCTTTCCGTTTTTACATTTTTTCCTTATTAATAGAAAGAAAAATTCATAGATCCTATTTGAATTATTATATACCGGGTGTTGCATCGTCGGACGGGACATAGGAAATCCCATGTAAATTTTAATGGGGTCAATTATTGGCTTTCCTAATTATTTTAGAGAATAATTCTATTTAGGTTTATTGAAGAGCACTAAAACCCACATTCAAAAGAATAACTAGATATTTTTGATTAGTTTGTTTACGAGTTATCGCCGATTTCTTTTTAAATATTTCTCCTTTCTTATGGCCCTGTATTTACTTATGAGCACCGGTCAAGGTAAAAGATAACAAATGAAGTTGTCATTTCAGAAATTTACCTATTTAGTGCTTTATTATTATTGAAAACTCATTCCTACATCGGAAAAGATGTATTTATAAAATTTAATGTGAATTAAAGTAAAATAAAGTAATCAATTACAAGGTTAATTATAGAATTATTACAATATTCAATAACTTATTAATTTAGGTACTATTAAATTGTTAGAACTTTAGGATTTAAGAAGATGTTGAAATATTCCTCCATCGACTGCTAGACAATAACCCAGGCGATCATAAAATTCTCTTCTTACATTCGCTAGTTAGTAAACTGAAATTCTATTGCATATTATTTTAACTCGTCTAGATTTGGGTATTTTTTATCCTTGTATATCCTGTTTTTTAAATGGCCCCAGAGAAAGAAATCATTTGGCGAAATATCAGGAGACCTTGCTGGCCAATTTACTGTATGATTTAGGCCAATAACGTTTCCGTTAAAACTATTGTCTAAATATTCCCGAACAGCCAGGGTATTATGTGCCGGGCAGCCATCCATTTGGTACCAAACTTCCTGATTTTCCCTAGGGGCCTAAGCTCCCATATTTGAAGGAATAGTATTTATGTCGTTTCAAAATTCGAAACGCTGTAGTGTGATCTATTGCTATTTCATCATTAAGTTTCCTTGTGCTGATCTTTCCATCGTTCTCTTCCACGCACAATAAAACTTCCAAGTCGGTATCATTTCTTGCATCTTCTCTTTGTTCCTGCCTTGCTTCACATCTGCAGTTATTTATTAGGGTACTTTTGGTCGCAAATCTCTGGATATTCCTTGCGATTGTAGATTTTCCAGGTATCGGTCTATTCGGATACAGCAGTGCCATTCTGTAAACATATTTCCTGTCTAGTGACTCATCAATCGTGTAAAAATAACATAGGCTAGGCAAGAAATTTCTTGCTACGGAGCTTACAAAATCCCACCGCAGAGCAGCAAACATGTCCGACACCTTTTGATAACTATTTCCTTGATAATACCATTTAATCATCAATACTTTTTCTTCGGTAGTGTAATTCATGGCTAATATTTTCGATGTAGGTATGAGTTTTTAATAATAATAATAAAGCACTAATTAGATAAATTTCTGAAATGACAACTTCATTTGACAGTTATCTTTTACCTTGACTGGTGCTCATAAGTAAATACAGGGCCATAAGAAAGGAGAAATATTTAAAAAGAAATCTGGCGATAACTCGTAAACGGGCTAATCAAAAATATCTAAAGTTATTCTTTTGAATGTGGGTTTTAGTGCTCTTCAATAAACTTAAATAGAATTATTCTCTAAAATAATTAGGGAAGCCAATAATTGAGCCCATTAAAATTTACATGGAATTTCCTATGTCCCGCTCGACGTTGCAACACCCGGTATATATATTTATATCTTTTAAACGGTTAATTTAATCGACCAATCATAAGAAACCATATTTTTAGAACCAGTGAATTTCCTACAAAACCATAAGTTACGCGTTTCATAATGATTTTTTGTTAACGAGTTATAAAATTCCTAAGAAAAAAGAAAACTGCCTTAAAATAGTCAAACTTCAACCTTTAACAACTTTCTGAACGGTGAGGTTTACAAAAAAATTGTAAAGCCGCGTCCAAGCTAAGCTAACAAAATGTTCGCGAACATATATAATTAAACATATTAAGTGAAAATTGTGAGATAGGTAGATTTATAAATAATAAAGCCAACAAGTACAGTTAGCCTACGCCTAGTAAAGAGCGAGGAGCGCGGGGCGCCGAACGGCTAGCTTGTACGCCAGAGCGTGCATCTGCCTATGCTAGAGCGCGCGCCTTCTTTTTCCGACGGGTGTTGGTACATCAAAAGGAGCGAACGGCGTGCATTTCGGCGGACATTGTAGCGGACACTTGGAAGGGTCTCATTTAATTTCGGGCGTCCATCTATGATTTTTATTTTTTACCGAGTATTCTACAATGGGAGACGCAGTTATTGACTGGGATCGTGAAAAACATTTACAACTAGTTTGTTTACACAAAGAAAAGATTTTTTAATTTTAATTTTATTGTGGGTTCAGTGTGAATAGCTATGTAGCTAGACTTCGTCCATATAATTTCATTTTTGTTAATAAAGACCTTTATGATTATTTTTATTAAAAATCGGAATTATTATGGGATTCTGAAATTAAAAATTACTTCTTAATAGGAAGTTTGACACCGGAAATGAAATTTTACCATTACATTTTTAGAAATAAATATACCGGGTGTTACTGAAAAGTGGTTCACTTCTATAACTTTTTTAATTTTTTAGATAAAAAACGAGATTTGGTATGTTAGTGTAGGACATAAATCAGGATTGATCGACGTTTTCATTTATTTTCGGTCACTACCTATTTCACCGGAAATGACAACAACTTTTGATTTAAATGGTACCCTCGATATTTTTTTGCCGTATATGATAGAAAATGACATTCTAAATAGAATGATATATTATATGTCAACTTTTGACATTTTCAATTAAAAAATGGCCATAAATAAAGGTAACGACAAGTTTACTCCAAATACCAAGTATGTAGTACCAAATTATTCTCAAAAAATGCTTTTTCCAAATATGCTGAGCCAGCCTTTTTTTCGTACCATTTGAAAAATTTGAGTTATCATTAAAAATGCGATTTGGGCATCTCTTAAGCGGCCATGAAAGGATACGAAAAAAAATTACAAGATCAAATATATGTTTCCAAAGTTCTTTGATTACAAATTAATAGTTTTAACTCCGTCTTGGCACTCTAGATTGAAATTTAAATTGCTATTTTTATTTAATTGGAAATGTCTAAAATTGACGTATGGTATGTCATTCTATTCAGAATGTCATTTTCTATCAAATAAAGAAGTACTTAGGATACAATCTAAAAATCCAAAGTTGTAGTCATTTCCGGTGAAACAGGAAGCAACCGAAGGTAATTGAGTACGTCAAACAGTCCCGATTTATGTCATATACTAACAAACCAAATTTCGTTGTATTATCTGAAAAAATAAAAAATTAAAAAAGGAGAGCCCCTTTTGAGAAACACCTGGTAGAATCGGCTGAAAATGAATACAGGTCTTAAAAATACACTATAACGAATAATCTACCAAAAGACCCTGTGACCCTCCACCTGCTAAATATTGATTCTTCAACGACAAAAGTTCTTAAACTGTTTACCGGTTAATTTATTTAATAAAATGCTTGCACTGTAGTTTTCTCAGCTTTGCATCAATTTTGTTTTGCTACAGAGTTTCTTTTTTTGTTTTTTTTTGCAAGCATCAGCCAATACAATAAAAGCAGCTGCCGCAATTTTCACCTTATCATCCATATTTATTTTCTCAACTCACATTAAGCCGAGCACACGAAAAAACAGCGATTGCCTAAACGCATCCTAGATCTATAGAGTAAACTGGTTGTCGCATTCTTCGCCGCACCTCAGTCCTCGGGACCGATGCGCGGGGCTGTGCCGTCGTTTACGACCTGCTGCTACGAGTATATAGTGCTAATTATATATGTTCGCGAACGTTTTGTTCGCTTAGCTTGGACGCGGCTTTAGAGACCGTTTTGTAGAGAATTCAATTTCCTACAAATATATGAGACTAGATACTTTTTCCAAACAGTAGATACGGAGATATGAATTTTTCTTTCTAATAATAAGGAAAAAATAGAAAACTGAAAAAAAAGGCGGAGGACCTTAAAAATTAAGAGCTCATATTTGGAGAGAATTTTTTTGAGGTGTTTACTAACCTTTTTTTCTGAGTATAAAGTCCAAAAAATAGTCGATTTTTTTGACCCACCCTAATTGTTTACATTGCCTAATATTTCAAAAATACTGCTGTTATATTTTGCACGATATTTTTGGAATATTGTGTGTTCTATGGGAATTGTCTATTTTATATTTTTTATCAACGTTTACATTTTTTTTTCGATCGATATAGTAATATGGCGCTAAAATATTAAAAAAAAACACAGATACTAACATTTTCACAAATACAAAGTACAATTAGCTATTGAACATTGTACTACAGAACGAAATACTGTGTGGAAATAAGGATTTCCAAAAAAATATATATGAACTAACAGAAAGTACCGTACGATTGAAAAAGAAACGGCGTCAAGTTGGCTTGGAAATTAACGAAGCCTACTACGACGCCGTTTTTTTTTTCGGATCGTACGATAGAGTAATACTAGAGGTGTATATATCTATTGTTGACAAGTACCGGATATGGAACTTGAGTGAATTTGATACAGTGTGATTATTATTATTTCATCTGTATATGTGTAACTAATTTCATAGTGTTTTTTATTGGTAAAATTTAAATAGCACAAAAGAGGATCGTTGTAGATAGAACAGAAATTGTCATATTTACTGAAATATAGACCATAATTTTCAATTAAGTTACTTTTTATACTGATATTACTGAAAACTACAAATAATGAAACGGCCTTATAATTTTTTTTAATTATTTGTAAGATGGTAAGAAAAAAATTAAATAAGTCCTTCTAAGTTTTACCTTGGAAACACTATATTATATTAAGTTTTCCTTTTTTTTCAACAAGAGAAAAAGAGATAATCTGATGGTTAACAGTTTTTAGTGAATAAACCCTTTTTATATGAAATTTAGATTGTAGATTCTTGAAATAATAAAGCATTGTCATATAAAACTAGTAGATTTCATTGTTCTCCCCTAATTTCCTAAAATAAAACTGTTTTTTAGTTAATAAGTGGTTATATTTTGTTTCTTCTTTTTATTAACGACATTGCTAACATAAACATCAGTGGCAAAATATGTCTTTTTGTGGACGACACTAGCTTCACTTGGAGCAACAAGGACGTTACGGCACTTCATAGGATTATATCAAATGATTTAATCACTATTAAATCTTGGTGCGACTTGAACCTCCTGAGTCTCAACATTTCTAAAACTAAAGCTTGGTCGTATAAAAACTCGCTGCAGCCTTTTGTACTTAACAACACCTCAATTGACATCGTAAAATCTGTAAAATTCTTAGGGCTTGTTGTAGACAATTCTCATATATGTCAATGGGACATACATATCGAAGCTTTGTCGAAAAAATTGAGCTCTGCCTGTTTTGCATTAAGATCTGTTTCTAAAAGGAGCTTAACTTGTCAGTGGCTAGAACTGTTTATTATGCACTTTTTGAGTTGCACCTCAGGTATGCCCTTCCATTCTGGGGTACGTGTTGTGCGACTCAATTTGACCGCATTTTCAAGCTCCAGAAGAGAGCTGTTCGATATTCACTGGGACTAAACAGCAGAACTCATTGCCAGGACTTTTTTAAAAAATTAAAAATATTGACTCTTCCTTCCTTATTTATATTTGAATCCGTTTGCCTAATACGTAAGCATGTATCAGCTTCTCAAGAAAGGCCATCTCACACTTATCCACTCAGGAACGCGGAGCAAGATCTTTATCTACCTACCCCACGCTCAGAGTTAGTTAAAAGTTCAATATTATAGAACTCGAAAAAAATGCACTATTTCTACGCTGTAAATGAATTATATTTTGAAAATCGAATTTGATCTTGTAAACAATGGTCTAATGTTTGCTATCTATTGCTATATTTACTAATGACATCGAAATAAATTTATTTAGAGGTCATTGATATTTACTATAAGCTAGCTAAATATTTTTGAATGTTGTTTTTTTATTTTTTTGTTCTTTGACATTGTAAACATTTATAAATGTTTATTTTAAACAATAAGACTGACAATATTATTTGTATAATGTTTTGTATTATCTTTTGTTTGTTTGTTTGTGTACCTTGTTTGTTTACTTTGTTTGTTTAGTTTACCTTTGTCTACAAATTGAAAAATTTTTTGACAATAAAGGCATTTATTTATTTATACCATATCGGCAAGCCACAGTCTTGGGTCGGTATTTACATGCCTCCCTGTATAGTGGTTTAGTATCTATAGAGTAGCAGTAGTATACCGTATAATCGAAAAAAAAAGCGTCCTCATATAATTTTTGCATGTAAATTACAGCGATCTTCATTTCATAGCCATCGACGACGCCGTTTTTTTTTTCGATCATATTGTATAAAGTACGAAGATGTCTATATACTGGCAGATGATTTTATTTTAAAAATACTTAAGTAAAAATGACAAAAAAGCAATTTAAGCAACGTGTATTTTAATGAACAAATTATACTAACAATTTTATTTCATAAATCATTAAAAGAATTGTACTTTTTATTAATAAATAAAACTTTACAATAAACAGTTTGTAGATATACCATAGATATACGAATTTTTGTAAGCTATAAAGTGTAGAAAATTTGTTATAAACAGTGAGCAAAATCGTTTCTTGTACAGGGTTGTAAATTTTAGCCATTAGTTGTCTCTAAATATTGGCTTTAGACAAAAGTTTAAGAAGTTTAGAGTGTCAAATTTTGACATCACTTGCATTGGTTTAAATAGAATGTATATCTGATTCTCAAGTTCAATTAAATTTTTTTCTGATTTCAAAAAAGATTTGTTGATATTTTTTTTCTTAACTTTTTTTAATTTATTTTTTTCTTAACTTTCTTGTCTTAAAACAATATTTATTGAGATACCTATTGGTTAAAAATATACGTACACACCCTGTTTATTTGGATATGTAAACTTCAAGCTCTAAAACTACAGGAAAAATACCAGATGATCGAAAAATAAACGGCATTAGTCCTCCTTGACGCCGATTATTTCAGTCATATATGGTATATATTTTAAACTGATCTACTAAAGTCACATATATTGCAATTTCTCTAAAACTACTACAGAAATAGGTGATTGACATTAGAGTTGTTTCTATATAAGATAAATTCAATATTTTGTTCAATTCAACAAGTTTTGTGAATTAACTCAAAACAATTATTACCATTACACACTTGTAAGAAAAAAACTCTTTGTAAAAAGTCCTAAAAATGTCGCTATTTTATTAGAGAAATCTAAAAATCTACAAAGCTCACTAACTTTCGTATTACAAATCAAAGCGTATTGGTTATTGTTGTGGTAACAGACTTCAGATTTTATTGTCAAAAAACGTTCTTTGAACAGTGTAAATGAAGTTCATACCTACTTGGACAGACTATTTCTCTATTCATTATGTTTGTTCTTCTTTTGAAGAAAACTAGTTCATATACAGTGTGATTGAATAAAATCTACATTGTAATAGCTACTATGGCTTTATTCACTTATTTCAAGCCCTTGTTTAACTACTGCGCAGCCGATTTCATTCAAGACTACTGCGCAGACGATTTTATTCAAGACTAAAGTATATTTTTGTCAGATCATATAGTATACTTATTGTCAACTTTTTTTAAAGCTATCTGTTATATTTATTTAGTAGAAAATCAACTAGAAAATTAGTTTTTGAATATTTAAATATAATTAAGTAAACCTTCTCATTTTCTAGGATCATTTGCAATAAAATATATCTAAAATCATAATACAATTGAAGAATGACATAAAGTAACAATGATATACGTATATTATATTCCATTTCTATCATAAATTTAACCTATAATCTCAAAAGTTACTAATTATACTGTAACATAATTTATATTTAATAATATTCACTAAATAATTATAAAATATATTAACATTTATATTATAAAGTTTTAAATAAATATTTATAAAGATGAGTTCAATGATTCTTCCTAACTGCTTGTTATCCACATATTACGTATAACACAGTATTTTCAATTTAAATGTATAGTTTCATCAGGAAGATAATCTGTTATATACCTAAATTATTTCATCATAATTATAGTCAAACATAAGTCTGTTTTATAAAAATATAAAAAAAATACATAAGATTTATGTCAACATATATGTGTGCAGTTTGTATTATATCAAAATAAATTTATATAATTTAAATACATTTATGTTTTGCCAGAAAATCAAACATTATTAATCTATAAGTAATACTGGCCCTCAAGATTCATTTTCAACCTCCAAATAACTAGCATAACCATTTAATTCAAGACATATTTATCTATAAATAATCGATATATTTACCTCTTGTAGTGTTTAAAACTAAATATAACAAAGGTTAAAACTGAATAAAATTCTTTAAAATACAAAAAAATAATTTAATAAAAATAAACACTAACAATAGGCCCTCGAAAATCTATCTTTGTGATATAAACGGTAAGCTCGGAGCCATGCTACATGCCATAACATATAATACTCCAAAATATAAATTAAGTCTCGCTGTCTTTTTGGGAATGCCCTGTATATCGCTCGATCTAAACTGTTTCTCGATTTTGAAAGCACCGGGAAGTGTAATAAGAGGCAGGACAAACCATTTTGAATATTTTAAAGTTGCCACCATAAACATGATATATGGAGTGAAAAGTAGAAATGCATACAATATATGCGAAGCGGTATGTCCGATAATAATAGCCAAAGTAACAATGCCAACTTTCTTATCGGATGCAGAATCTCTTGTATTGTTACTGTGCAAGATAGCTTCAGTGTTTAGAGCTAGAGGAATGGCGTAATACATTGTTGCCCATTCCACTCTTCCTGTTTGAACCATGAAAGCAAACAGAACTGATATGGGGCCGAATATTATTAAAATTAGAACATCTCCTAATGCTATATATTTAAAGCCAATTCCGCCAGTGTACAGGAAGCTTGAGGAAAGTCCTCCAAAATAAACCAGAGCTAAATGTTCCATTTTTGCAGGAGATAATGCTGCCATTAATATAAATCCAACACATCCACAGAGGTAAAGGAAGGCTCCCAAAGATACAACTTCGTCCTTAGATAAAATATGATCCACTAGAATTCTGTCATCTGATTTTCTGTTATCAATACCTAAAATTTCAAAAAGTTTGAGTTGTATAATTACTTCCATATATTTTATACATACCTTTAACATAATCAAAGTAAGTATTAACAACATTGCCAGCCCCGTGTACGGAGACAACAGTAAAAACAGTAAAAATTAACGTTAAAAAGTTGAAGTCTGTAGCCCCAGGATACTTATAAGCTATCGTTGACCCCAATAATGTAGGCATTAAACTGGCACTCAGCGACCACGGTCGTAAGGCTAGTACATAACTGGATAGTTTCATAAATACTGACTTTGAATTACCAGAAACCTTCTGTTCTTTAACTGTTCCATTTGTTAGTTCCTTAGTTTCAATCTGTTTCTGATCAACTGACATACTTAAAGGATACGTAATAACGTGTAATATATGATGTAGTATTAAAGTAATACTAATTAAATGAAATTATTCTTTGTAATTTGTTGCTCAGGAGTTTGAGCAAATTTATTTTGCTTTAGACATGAAAAATCATCGAAAATATCAAACATCTAGCATTTACCAAAAATTAACTTAACCTTTAATTTATGATAGTTGACAAATGTCAAATAAAATCAGGTATCTTCTTTTATTTTAATTAATTTAAAGGCCTAAGCTACTATCCGGCCTGTTAATAGAGTACCACCTGAAAATATGATCTTATTCTGGAATATGGCTAAAAAATTGAAAATATGATAATTGGTGCTTGAAAATTACTTATTTAAAAAGAAGAGAATAAACACATGTTTTGGAAAAGGGATTGTGGCAACGGCAGCTACGTCGAAACATCGGTTCCCATTAGAACACCGAAGTTAAGCGACGTAAGGCGATGCTAGTGGATGGACGGGTGACCGGTTCGAAACTTTGCATCGTGCTGTTGTCCAAAAGGGAAAAGTGTAAAATCTATTGATACACACTGCTCATTCACGCCGGTTCAAGGCCGGATGAGATCGGATATCTCGTGAGTAAGAGTTAATTTAGACACTTCCTAAGTCGGTAGGCCATTGACCATCCATTGACCATGATATGGCCGAGGACCGCGGTTCGGATTCCGCGTAAACAAGTAGGTCCCGTCCAGTTTAGCCATTGCAGCAGAAAGGAGACGTTAACTTGAACCTCAAAAAAAAGGGATTGTATTTATCTATGGTATTATTTATAATTTGTATTTGTAATCATAAAGGTAATTGTAATTTTGTTGGTGCCCAAATTTGAAGATTTTTTAAAATAAATTATGGTCTACTGAGTTATTTTTGTGAAAGAAAAGTTCTGATTTTGTTGGGGTTTCTGTTATTTAGATTAATATGGAGGTTACACAAGCAAGTAAGTATAATTTGTATTATCCATTCAGATGATTTCAGAGAGCCTCTTTTTCCTTAGATTTTAAAGCAACACTACCCGAAATTGAAACAGCAATAAAAAATTGTACATTCGTAAGCATTGACACCGAATTAACTGGTTTGAAGACGTCTCTGAATAAGATAAATGCATTTGATACACCTAAACAATATTACGAAAAGGTTATAAAGGATTGTCGACAATTTTTGGTTGTGCAGTATGGCTTAACTTTCTTTAGGTACACACATCTAATATAATTTACAGGGCACTTTTGAAATGTGAATTTGTAGATATGATGAAGCTGCAGATGTGTTCAAACATAAAAGCTATAATTTCTATATATTCCGTAAGCCTGTAAGAAATTGTGTGACCGATCAAAGGTTTCTGTGTCAAACTTCCTGCATCGATTTCTTGATTAAGAATGGATTTGATTTTAATAAACTCTTTAAAGATGGCATATCATATTTAAATAATGTTGAAGAAGATATGTACAAAAATAGTATAGAGGAAACTGAAAAGAGGATTAGGGAATCATCTAATAAAAGTTCTGGTATTAGCATACCAGCAGAACATCAAGACTTTGTTGACAGTGTAGTGTATGTTCTTGTTTTTTATAGAGTAACTTTTATATTAATTACTCTTTGTAGGAAGGAATTACAAGATTTTTTGGCATCTGAAGAAAATGAGAAGGAATTGCCAAAATGTAATGCATTTTTAAGACTGTTGATATATCAAGTCGCTAAAGAAAAATTCCAAGACCAAATAAGTCTGGAAACAAGGGTAGTTGGAAAGGACAGAATATTATTTGCTAAAAAATATAAAAGCCAAATTGAAAGAATGGAAATTGACGAGAAAAAAATCGAAGATATGCAGAATTCAATGAACGATTATATTGGATTCAGTAAAGTTATTAGAATGATTATAGAATCGGTAAAATTTTGCTTTCTATTAATTTATTATCATCAATAAAATATACGTATGTTTTAGGAAAAGTTGGTTGTTGGACATAACGTAATGTTGGATCTCCTACACACTATTCACAAATTTGTAACACCTCTACCTGAAGATTATGATGATTTTAAAGAATGCGCAAGTTCTTTATTTCCAAAGTAGGTACTTTATATTTAGTTCTTAAAATGTAGTTACTAGATACATTTTTTTAGAATCGTAGATACTAAACATATATCTAGCAGTGAATCATTCAAGGATTTGGTGAATTCTACTGTATTAGCCCAGTTATTGGAAACACTGCAAAAGGAACCTTTTGAAATGCCCAAAATAGGTAAATTGTAATATTTGTTGATTTATATGTTGTATATACTTATTAATGTTTTTATATAGAGGTTGAAGAGAATAGTTTGAGTTATAATATAAATGATGCTAAAGAACATGAAGCTGGGTATGATTCGTTTATTACAGGAGTGGCCTTGTTGGGCTTGTGGAAATATTTAGGTAGGTATCTTATTTTATTTAAAACCTAAGAACTATGCTTAAACCTAAATATTTGTAGGTATTGAAAAAGGTTCTTTTCACAATGATGATATTTTTGCAAATTTGGAATTCCTAAAGCCTTATTTGAATAAGTAAGTTCTAATGTGAAAATATATCTTTATTTTAATTAAAATATCCAATTTTGTAGAATTTTCTTGATGTATTTGAGTGATAATCAGTATGCCCATCTCAGTGGTCCAGATTGTAAGTATAACACAATTTTTTGTTTTCATTCTACATTTTTTATTTTATTTTTTCCCTTTAAGTGAATCCATCCAGAGAACATGTTTTCTATCTAACATTTCCTAAGGAATGGACTCCGAATACCATTGTGCAACTGTTTAGTCCATTCGGTAAGTACAATATGAATCCAATAAACATAATGGGTGATTGAAGTTATTGATGTAATTTTGATATTAATCGATTCTACAATTCTTATTTTAACGTTGTAAGTGCGGATAATCGGCCAAAAGTTAGAGTTTTTTTTTACCAAATATAAGGTTAGAATTCAGAATGTATCATCTTTCTTTATAAAGTTTAATAAGAATGACAAGGAAGATAGATTCTGGGGTATTTGTCTTTTGTTCGCGTCTGCGCGTATCGATGCCGGTAATAATGAAATTTTGAAAAGCAGACCACCTGACAATTCCAAATAAATAAATTACTGTAGCCAATTTCTAGCGAACAGCTGTTGATTATAGTTGACAGATAAATAATGCTTTAAACGTCAGTTGTCTACCGATTGGTTGACAACTGACGTTTAAAGCATTGTTTATCTGTCAACAGAAAAAAACAAAAAATGTTTTTCTCAAATTTTAAACTACACCATTTAAAAGTCATTTTTACTCAATTTAAATATAAATTACAACTTTCTTAAGGCCAATTGGCAGTAAGCGCCATTAAAAGAAGAGTATAGGCCAAGCAAGCGACGTTTAGGGCTTGGCCTCGCCAAAATTATCATTGATTGTCATTCCCAGAGCTTTTGACGCTGTTTTTTTTTCGATTGTATGGTATTTTATCTGGTATCAAATTCTAATATATCTATCGTTTTTGAAGGTGGCGTTTACATTGCTTGGCTTTCCGAAGCTTCGGCTTTTGTGGCGCTGCACAAAAAGGACCAAGCGGCCGTTGCTTTGAAAACTTTGAGTCAAGGCGACACATACAGTATCATGACGTTCGCAAAGAGACAAGCCTTATTGGCTGGACTAAGGACCATAGCCCCTAGTCCTATCAAGAGACGAAAATCCATTGAAGGATCGCTACAGACGAAAAGAAGAAAGACTAACAGTTTTGACGGGTAAGTAGATTATATACAGGGTGTTCTAAATTGGATAGTGACCATTGGGGCCTCGGAAACTGTAAAGCCTTATCTACGCATATAACCATAGATTAAGGAAACAAGTTTAGATTGGAATGCTCGGCTTGCCGCCAAAACTTATAATTGTTTTAAACTTATAATTTTCACAACCGCAAACAAGAACAGACATATTTTTTTCTTGTCAAAGTCAGAATCATTGCCTGGAAACTTATATGGTGAAATTTTGATAAAATAATTAAGTACTCACTAAAAACACGGTATGTCGCTAGTGGTAGGAAAAATAATTTTTAGAGGTTACTAGTTTATTTGGTTGACTGTGATATGCATATACAGGGTGTTTCCTAATTAATCTAAAAAATAAAAAATCGTTACAAACCGGCTTAAAGCGGGCTCTTAATAAGTATATTTATTTTTTTCTCGGCAACCGTTTGATGAACAAGAAAAACTCAAAAGATCAATTTTGTTGAAAAGGGATGGCCAGTCAAGAAAAAAATATATTTTCTTTAAAATAGCAGTAGTGTACCATTTATTTTAAGCAAAATATCGATTTTTTTTAAATTTTTAACACCCTGTAGATCAGAAAGGAAGTACTTTAGACCCAATGGTTATATAAAAATTGTTTTAAGAACACATGAGGAATCACACCACAATTTTTTAGACTAATTAGAAAACACCCTGTAGATTGTCAACTTGACAATGATTGTTGATAAATCAAAAAATACCTTTTCTGTGAAAAAAGCCCGATGTTATGTTTTTTAAATTAAAGCCCGATACCGGTATGTTTTTTAATATTCTATCTATCTAAGTTTTAAATATCATAGTCAGAAATAGTTTTATTATTTATTAACTGTAAAAATGGTATACTTATAAGTTTTATCAAATATTGTGATTTACTTTCTACCTTGTAGTCAAAATTTATATTTAATAAACTGAGAAATATATATATTCTTATGTTTTGAACCGATGATTCAAGGGTTCGAATCCGGGACAGGTCAAAGACTTTTTTTATTTTATCTTCGTTTATATTTTGATAGTAAAGTATTAAATAATCCTGGAAATTAAAAAAAACAAATATTTAATACTTTACTATCAGAATATAAACGAAAATAAAATTAAGAAGTCTTTGACCTGACCCGGATTCGAACTCTGAATCATCAGTTCGTGGTCCGAACTCTACGCACTGCGCTATGGAGACATGTTCGATTAATATTCAATACTAAAATTTAAAGGACTAATAAAAATATAGGATCTTTCAATGCGCAGTAGAGAACGCAACGTTTACCGGCAGCCAGACGGGCCGCATGGTGTTCTAGAGAGCATAGTAAAAGATATGTCAAAGAGCCAGACGTCTTAAAATACTAGTTTTTCCGACGTTGCTAGCTCTCGTACTATTATGGGCACTTTCCAATCTAAACTAGTTTCTTTTATCTATGCATATTATAACTTCTTACTTGGAAGTTTTATCTGCAGTTTAATCAATTACAGCATTGCGTTTAGTGAAGATGAAAAGAAAAAAACATGGGATTTTACTACAAAATTGCATCTTTGGTTTAACTTTCTTTTGTAAACATACAAAACTAATGGTGAAAAATGTATTGTTTGGTAATAATCATTAAATATCTCTAAATAATTTTGTAAAATTACATTATTTTGTGAAACTAAGCAAAAAAATGATATACGGGGTGGCTCATTAGTGCGAGGAAGTCCAATACCGTTGTTGTTGTCGAAGATATGCAAAAAAGTTTTATACAGATTTTGCATGGTTTATAAAGAGGCATATCTTATAAATATTTTGTTGTGTACAGGGTGTCACAAAAAAAGTTATGATAAAGTTTTAAGTTTTTTTTAAATCGCACTCCCCGTTATTATTTTTTATTTTTATTTTAAATCTACATCTAAACGAAAAATAATATACAGGGTGTTGCAGTTAAACTTCTTAATGTTGTGCAAAAATTTTCGATAGCGATACCTGAAAGTATCGATACTTTTTAGAGATGTATCGATAAGAATCGATACTTTACAGAAAGTATCGGTGCAGGTGTATCGATATTTTTTTATTATCTTCTCATGCCTATTTTCAGTGGAAGTTTCTCCAGCTCCAAACGATCGATAGAACCTATAGTGGAAGAGGAACAACAGACGGATCAAGGAGCTAGTGGTTCTCCTTCAAAACAAGGCTTGTTTGAAGTCGCATCCAACTGGGATTAAAGATAATTAAAAACAAAAAGTCGATACGTATGTGTTATTTATTTATGTTTTATATAAATAAATGTGCATATAATAAGTATATTTTTCTTTTGCCGTGATGGAATTCCGGAGCCATATTGAACATTTTTGGGATTTCCAAGGGCATTGCAATTTCTAATTCCGGCAAATGCCGCTAAGAAACCCCAAATTTGTCTCAACTCGCGTAGAGTAAGGGTAATTATACATTTCTTAGCTTTTATTTTTTAAAGATATTCAACATTTAATAAAAAAAAATTATAATTTATTTTGCAGTGTAGGGTTGATACACTTTATGTACTTCAATTTCTGTGTAATTATACAGGGTGTGTAAAAAAGTTCGCAACATCGAATTTATGTGGGATTTCTACAGCATACCTAATAACAAAAATTTTTGAAAGAAAAATTCCAATTTGTTGCGAACAACTTCTTGGCACACCCTGTACTATATTATTACGTAGTACTTGAATTTTTTGACATATTTACATACAACACAATATTAAACTAAAAAAGTGATAAATATCTGAATTACACCATTTAGTGCCTTTTAATTGCAGTTTATTATTTAAGTGATGGGCAAGTACCGGTATATTGAAATTTGGGTAAATATCCAATTTTTTGCACCCGGTATATACCCATAAAGTGTCAATAAATGGTGTATTAAATTTGGGTAAATACCATTTTACCCGGTACATACCCAATCATACTTTTTAAAAACAATTTGTTGTTAAATTAAAATTATTGAATTACTAATATCGCTATTGAAAAATAGGGGTTGATGGTAGATGGGTGAAAATTTAGGATTGTATGTATTTTTTAATACCACATCATAAAAAAAAATTAAAAAAAATTGTGTCCTAAAAGTAAAAAAAATATCGTGGACCACCCATATCACTTAGGGGTATAAAAAATAGATAACAACCTATTCTCAGACCTACTGAATATACAATACATATAAAATTTCATCAAAATCGGTCAAGCCGTTTCGTAGGAGTATGGTAACAAAATTGAGAAAAAAACAACCCCTATTAAAAATAGGGGTTGATGGTCGAAGGCTGAAAATTTAGGGTTGTATGTATTTTTTAATGCCACATCATAAAGAATAAAAATAAAAAATTTTGTCCAAAAAGTAAAAAAAATGGTGGTGGACCACTCTTATCACTTAGGGGTATAAAAAATAGATAACAATCTATTCTCGGACCTACTGAATATACATATAAAATTTTATAAAAATCGGTTAAGCCGTTTCGGAGGAGTATGCGTATCAAAATTGAGAAAAAAAACAATCCCTTTTTAAAAATAGGGGTTGATGGTCGAAGGGTGAAAATTTAGGGTTGTATGTATTTTTTAATGACACATAAAAAATAAAAATAAAAAATTTTGTCCAAAAAGTAAAAAAAATGGTGGTGGACCATTCTTTTATCACTTAGGGGTATAAAAAATAGATAACAATTTATTCTCGGACCTACTGAATATACATATAAAATTTTATAAAAATCGGTTAAGCCGTTTCGGAGGAGTATGCGTAACAAAATTGGAAAAAAAACCAATCCCTATTTAAAAATAGGGGTTGATGGTCGAAGGGTGAAAATTTAGGGTTGTATGTATTTTTTAATGCCACATCATAAAGAATAAAAATAAAAAATTTTGTCCAAAAAGTAAAAAAAATGGTGGTGGACCACTCTTATCACTTAGGGGTATAAAAAATAGATAACAATCTATTCTCGGACCTACTGAATATACATATAAAATTTTATAAAAATCGGTTAAGCCGTTTCGGAGGAGTATGCGTATCAAAATTGAGAAAAAAACAATCCCTTTTAAAAATAGGGTTGATGGTCGAAGGGTGAAAATTTAGGGTTGTATGTATTTTTTAATGACACATAAAAAATAAAAATAAAAATTTTGTCCAAAAAGTAAAAAAAATGGTGGTGGACCATTCTTTTATCACTTAGGGGTATAAAAAATAGATAACAATTTATTCTCGGACCTACTGAATATACATATAAAATTTTATAAAAATCGGTTAAGCCGTTTCGGAGGAGTATGCGTAACAAAATTGGAAAAAAAACCAATCCCTATTTAAAAATAGGGGTTGATGGTCGAAGGGTGGAAATTTAGGGTTGTATGTATTTTTTAATGACACATAAAAAATAAAAATAAAAAATTTTGTCCAAAAAGTAAAAAAAAATGGTGGTGGACCATTCTTTTATCACTTAGGGGTGTAAAAAATAGATAACCTATTCTCGGACCTACTGAATATACATGTAAAATTTTATAAAAATCGGTTAAGCCGTTTCGGAGGAGTATGGAAACAAAAAATTATTTATTATTGTTAGCTGTTTTAAAAGTAATATTCATCCACTTCTAATGTGATATGGTTTTTCTCAACTGTATCTTCATTGACTTTGATATCCTTTCTACGACGACTTTGCCTATCACGACTTGGGACTTAACAGGCCAGTAGTTTTCAAAATTATCAACTGAACCTATAAGGCCCAAATCGCAAAAAACTATTTTTCAGTTTTGTGTTCTTCTCACAATGGCCTGATATCACCTGAAAAAAAAAGAAAAAATATCAATAATGATAGAAGCAAAACTAAAAAAGCTTTATAAAACACTGGATGTGAGTATCGCTAACCATGTTAGCATCATCAGCAGATTATTAAAACTAAGTTCAAGTAAATTCGTTTCTATAAGCGATACTTGATTTTTAAATTCATTGTTGTCAACCATGGACATATTCGACGCCGGGCTGTCTAACTGGAATTTAAATTTCCCGCTGGGATTCAGGTGGTAGCTCTGCTGTAAAAAATGTCAAGTTGCCACATTTATTTACTTATTTCCTGACATTGTCATTCGTTTTGACACTTTAGTTTTGTATTACGAGTTTTTGGTTTAAATGAATTGTGTACAAGAGGTGTACAGATAGCTTAATAGCCGTTGCAAAAAACTCATCGCAACCTTATTAGAATATTTTGAACGGGAAAGCGGTAGTAATAGTTCTTTATGTCCCTTAAGTGCTGTTAAGGAGTTGAGTTTTCTTGATGTAAATAATAACTGTTTATATATTTACAATTAATTTATTGTTGTTTGGGGGCCCTGGGGCAAATTAAAAAATGGGGCCCCACTGCTATCTAAACTGATTAGGTTTAATCAAATAAAAATATGAAATATACAAATACTTTAAAAATGCTAAGCTACTTGAGCTTTTTTTGTGCACTGCAGGGCAGGTAATGAAAATATTAAACAGTAACAACATAAATTACAATTAATACTTGGTGTAGGTTTGGCTAATAAAACGAAATAGAGAAGATTCAACGGTTTATTATATAAAGGTCGGGCCTACCAACTGACTAAATAACAATTATATTTGCAATATATAAATATAAAGTATCAGTAACTTCGTTTAAATCCAGGCTTGATGTGGTTTTGTTTTCAATTGCTATTAGCGATAAATGTCGGAGTCGAGTTTGGCCCATATATTGACCAGTACAAAAAAGTTTATTGACATTAGCTTACTTACTCCTGGTACAGCATTAATTTTTTAACAGTACTCGAAAAAAAATCTTAACTCGAATTCACAATAAAACGCACATATCACTATCCGTCAAATTGACAACACTGCCAACCTACAGAAAGAATTTAGGGGAATTCCCCAGTCATAACTTTTGAATTTCTCTCAACTGAGTTGTCATGATTAAAGTAGGGTTGCAACCTGTCATATTTATTTTGAAAAAAAATTTCCAAAAGTTCAGTTCGATCGAGATTTCTTGTAAGGATTCGAGGGCCCCGGGTCACTGCTCCGCCTAGCCGCTAGGTAGCTACACCACTGGTTGTAACACCAACTGGTTTAACACCAAACTTCAAACCACCAATTGTAATCAAAACAATCATATCTTTTTGATTTTGATTTTTTTTTGGTATGTAGAGGCATTTTTTAAATAGCTCTTAATTTCTTAAAACTACCGAGGAACTAAAAATACCGAGGGTACCATTTAAAAATCAAAAGTTGTAGTAATTTCAGGTGAAACAGGAAGTGACCAAAAGCAATTGAATACGTCAATCAATCCTGATTTATATCATATCCTAATATACCAAATTTCTTTTTTTATCTAAAAAGTTATAGGGGTGAGCCACTTTTGGAAAACACCCCGTATATGGCTTTTTTATGCAGGGTCGCTGTTATGTATGGAAACGGTCGATTATTAGGTAAAATATACAAGGTACTGCAAAAAGTTATATACAAAAATTATAGGGTTTTTAAATGTCTATTGGTGAGTAATAAATTTATGTATACAGGGTCGGTCATAAAGTCGTGGCATATCAAAGTTTCATTTTTTTTAAATAGGACCCCCTCTATATTATTGCACATTTCAATTCTTCTTTCAATTCTAAGGAAAAATCGAAATACACACAATGTTGTGTACACCGACGTTGGCTAGAAGCCTAATTTAGTACAAACTGCAACGTTGTTTAAAATCCTAATTCACAGAAATACAAAACTAATATGGCTACTACTAAACAACTACTACAAAACTAAAGTCGCGTTTTATCCTAAATTGGGATAATTATAGTAAAAATATTATTTTTATGATTTAGTTAGAGACATATGTCAGATGGCAGTGAAGGAAAACAAAACAAAAGTATTTAAGTGTAGAGGATGTTTGAAGATCATAATTATTGAAACACTTTAACCGACTCTGTAACTCGTTACCCAAGGCAAAAAAGTTAAACGCAAACAACTTTATTGATAAATGTATTGTTTCTACTTTGAAAAATACTAATGGGCCTTAAAATTAAAGAAGTTTAAAAATTTTCTTGAATTTTTTTTTAGTAAAATGAGAATAATTTATTCGTAGTCGAAAAAATTGTTTCCGCGTGTTTTTTAGGGTCAAATATTTCAAGTTAATGTATTCAAAAAGCAGGAATTGTAATTTTAGGAACGAAACATTTTCTTATTTAACAACATGGCGGCTTTCACTTTGTTGTTTTGGAGATTAAGATGGAGTAGTTCGAGTAGTCGCATACTGGACTAATAAAGTCGCAGTTCGGCCTTAA